ATAACATTAACTAAATCATCTCTAGAATTTTGTCATCAACTGTCTGGAGTACAACTTTGAAACCAAATCTGAACTACATGTGTCAAGAAAGAATTGCTCATCTCTGCATGAAAGGAAAATTCAGCAGAATCTAGTTCACCTTAACAAAACTCAAATCTCACCTCAGGAGCAAAGCCCTCAATATGATCCTTCTCCCTCTGTAGGACACTCTCAGTAACAAATAGAGGAAAATACGCATTCTTGATATTCATCTTTTTTATTTCAGCATCAAAGAATGTCTGCATGTACAAAAAGTTCAGCAATCAACAGATGGTCCAGAGGAAATCCCAAGAGATAAGAAACAAGGCAATGTAATCTTAAACATCAAGATAGTTAAAAACTTCACATAATTTATAAATCATCAACATACATGGGACCCAAAAATATCAAACGCAGCACTGATGTTTTTATTATTTGAAGCCACAATTGGAGGGTTTGATTAAAGAACCAGGTTGTTAACAAAATATGGAAACACACAGCAATCTCTTCTGACATGAATCTAAATCCATTACTTGTAAAACTTCCCAAATTGTCATCGTCCATGGTCTTAGGATGTAGCAGCCAGATATGTCGTAGTACTCAATCATTTCACTATTAACAACAACCTGAAAAAGGAATGCAAAATTAATACTTTAACGTCAACAGAAAGAGAACCACCGGTAACTTGATCGTGCGCACCTCGGAGTACCATTCACCAAAGTTCTCATTTTTCTTGTAGGTCAAACCAAGTCCAGTTTCTTTCTTCACTTCCTTCTTCCTCGCTGATAAGAAGATTACAATTGACACCTGTGACACCTTATGCAAGAATGAACGAAAGCATTTTAAACATCATTTACGGCAGTAATACGTACCACCTTTGGCGTTGGCATTAGCGGTCGCCATGAATCTGGACAAGTAGCTACTCGACTTAGTGACCCCTGAAAAGAAGAACAATTGTTCATAACAATTCGGAATGGCATCCAAATGGAAAAAGAACACAAAAGTAAGCGTCTCAGTGGTGCAGGAAGGAGAACCGAGAGAGACCGCTTCGAAGCGGTCCGCTACGCGCAGGAAAGAGAGCCGAGAGCAGCGCCTTCCCAAATCGCTCCACCTCGCCCGCGACTGCGACCAGACAACCCTAATTCCCAATCAAAGGCGGCTACCAAATAAATCCTGCAACAGAATGGACGAAGTAAATGGGCCGGGCTCATCTGATCGGGCTCATGAGTCGGTGACATGCACCCATCACTTCAATTGTTTACGCGAGGTTTGGATCCAACTAGACAAACAAATCTACCGAATCTAATTCTTAAAGTCGACATCACCAAATGCAACCTGTTCTTGTAAGACGGTCCTCACTATTCAAACCGATTGAGCTCTCCTGATCATTTCCATCGAATCTCACCACGAACGAAGATCGATGGGCCAAATCGAAGCCGAGAGATCCGTCGATCGAGAAACCTCGGAAAGTGACCTAACTTAACATGATCCCGATCCGGTGCAACATGACGTGAAAATTGTATTTAAAATCCTGTTGGGTGTGGAGAAACGTCGTAGATCAACGGTCGAATGTAAACAACAGATGTGCGTATCGAATCGACTACCTGCTTGCTGAGTTTTGAGTTGCGCTGCGAGTTCATTATTGTTTGCTACGTAACTACTCTCCCACGTGGATGTATCGGACTCTCTCACACCTTCCTGTTTGATGATTGGATTCTAGTTGGGGGACCCGCATAGTTTAGCATTGGAAACCTTGGGTGAGTCTCGAATTGAGTTTTCTTATTATTAATGTTCATTTACGTTCTCTAATTCGTTGGATACAATTTTTAGCCTTTCTTTTCTTAAATTAGCCAACTTTTATAATTGTTGACCTTTAGTCAACGGGGACCCACAACACCCACTTTTCCTATGCCGCGTTGGGAGCTTCTATCTCACTCTGCTCAACACACTGCTGTTGGCATCGTTCATGCCAACTGAAGTTTTTGAAGCTTATGATCTGTTGTTATCCTCAGAAGAAAGGTGATACCTTAAACTTCAAGCATACTACACATGATGATTCTCTGCTGCGCTGGGGAAGCCTCAGAAAGAGCTACAAGAGCATCATGACCTTAACCTTGAATATTGGTAGTGTCCTCACCCTGACATCTGATCTCGATCTCTTAGTTCCTCCTCTGATTTCCTATAAATCCATTAGGCTAGCACTACTTCAATGGAGCACAGAACCATGGACTGGCACTCATGGCTATCCAAATCGTGCCTCGAGCCATCCCTTGTTTACGACTATGGGCTTCTGTTCATGAACAACGAGCTCGAGGAGGACGATATAGCACACTTCGACCACGACTTCCTACAGAGCATGGGCGTCTCCATCGCAAAGCACCGGCTGGAGATCCTCAAACTCGCTAAGAACAGTAGGAGGGCGTCTCCTCTTCCCGTCGCCAAGCTTGCCACGGTCATCAGGAAGTCCAAGACTCGCCTCGCGAAGTACATCCGCACCTTGGCTCGTTCTGACGGTCCGGCGATCTTGGTCGTGCCGAAGACTGCGTGCGGCGACTGCTGGAGAGGGGCCACGTCGAGGAGGAAGACGAAGCTGGTGATCCTGAAGCAGGGCAGGCTGATGATCACTGATCGCGGCATGAGAATCGCAGATCTGCCTTCTCGATCTCACAGCGGTACCCCGATGGGCCGCAGTCGTCGTGAGAACAGCAATGCTGCTGCTGCTGATGGGTGCTGGGAGACTGCAGATGGAGCCACGAGGTGGGATTCTATGTTCCAAAACTTGAAGCCCACATAAGGCTTCAAGTGTTTTTTAGCTGGAAGTGTCATAGACGTGTGCCGTGATGCACACGCAGTCAAAAGTGTGAGTGAGTGTTTTGGTATGGATGATGGAGTTCGAGCCGCAGTCGAACTCATCCTTTTCGGACCTTGAGACTTGAGAGTAACTGTGTCTTCTTCCCCATCGCAGAGTCGTTGCTTAACACGTCAAGCAACAGCAAATTCTTTCTTCCCCTGTCTTCCTATAGATGATATGTTAACATCATGAAGCAGGGCAAGGTTGCAATCATGTCTTCAAAATATATATCGTCAATAGTCAACACAGCCACAAAGACACAAATTGAAGTAAGGTTGCAAGATGACATCCTAATTGCCTTTCTTTATTCAACAAAACCCATAAAAGAAGAACAGAGGAGAAGGACATGCCAACAGCCATGGCATATAATTCGCGGTGTGCTTGATGAAATCATGCTTCTGAAGGAATGAAGAGGTAGGTGCAAAGTGGAATGATTGCTCAAGCTTTCTAAAATGAATCATCTCCATTCATGCATATGGACTCTAAGATAGACATGGACAAGGACGCATTAGACGAGAAGAGAAGTATCTAACTCCAAGCAGAAACATCGTTCACCCCTATTCATGTCACGCAAAAGGACAGCAGTGACCAATTAGAGCTTGCCTGAGTCTTCTGTGAGGCAAAGCAACCCATTGTTAAGAACTACAACTGTTTCGCTATTAAATGAAAGCTTAAGCAAGAGGTTTTGGATGCTTTAGACTATGATGATTAGGTGGGTTCTTAGGTGGTACATCAATTCATTGATTAAGATCCTCATGCCTTCTCAAGATTACTGTCCTTTTCAACAAGAGAATCTCTTTTACAATGTGCTGTAGTTATATCAAAAGAGAGAAGCCAATCTCTTCCAAAGCAGTGTGAATATGTTTCCATGTCTCTGAATCCATCCAAATGGAAATCTCAGTTGCTCCTCCACTTCGCCCATTTCATGCAAGTCTAAGGTTGTAAGGATGTGAAGAATCTTCTCTTCCGAAGCTGAGAAGACAAAGCAACATATGTTGAGTAGTTATTGGTGGCAGCGAGTTCTGGTAAGAGGAGTTCCGAGATCTGTGATCGCTCTCATTTTCTCTTCACTGTTCCTTTTGCCGCCACTGGCACAAAGCAAACTCTGACAAGTACCTGGTAGAATCCATGCATAGGCTGCTCGGTGCACTCCCCGAGACACCGCCGGGGGTCAACGGAAGCAGGCCGCACGCCGTCATGAACGGCGGCGGCAATGCCGGTTACGACGCCGGCATGGTTATCGTCATCGTGGCACTCCTCTGCGCTCTAATACTCGTGCTCGGGCTGAACTCCATGGTGCGGTGCGCGCTCCGGTGCGGGCGGTGCTGGCCTTGGAGACCCCCGAGCAGGCCGCTGCGAGGCTCGCTGCGACCAGGCTCAACAAGCAGTCGCTCCGCCGCCTCCCAGAGGCGGTGTACGCCTTGGGAGCTGACATCCCGGCCACCGATTGCCCGATATGCCTGGGGGAGTTCGCCGACGGCGAGAAGGTCCGGGTGCTGCCCATGTGCCGCCATGTGTTCCACGTCGAGTGCATCGACAAGTGGCTTGCTTCGCACTCTTCCTGCCCAACTTGCCGGCGGTTGTTGCTCGATCATGGCACCGGAAATGGAGCCGAGGAGGAGAACCGATCCCGCCGGTCGGCTCGTGCAGTGGTGGTGGTGGATATGGTGGGCTAACGCCGGCCTAAAGCAGGCCCTTGGTTCGCTGATCTATGGACTCCCAGTCCAATTTGTTCATGTAAACTATTTCTGATAATTATTTTATATATTTTGGGTTATAAATTTTTAGGTTAAATAGATATAATTTAAAATGATAAAATTTAAATTAATTTATTATGATTCGATATGATGGGATAAATGATCAGATAATTAATTTGTTGAGTCTGATTCACTGAGTTAAAATGGTTAAATTAATAATAATAATAATAAACACCGATGAAGCAGTCAATAGTCATTTCAGTAGATCTCTCCGTGAACTCGTAAAGTCGTGTTGGTCGATCTCCACGTAAACCCAGACCTTCCGAAGCATAAAAGAGCGACGTGTCGACACCACACTATTCTCTCCGCCCTTTAAAACCCTCACGGCCATCGCATTCCTCTCACCTCATTCCCATTTGGACTAGCAGGGAAGAAAGGCTGAAGAGGAATAAGCCCTTGGAAATGGCGGTCGCTGTGGGAGACCGGGCGGTGGTGGCCCTTCTGACGCTGCTGCTGCTCTTCTCGGTGCCGGCGAGCGGACACCAAGAAAGAGGAACAGAGAGAGAAGAGGCAGAGAAAGTTAGAGAGTGCGGAGAAGACGCTACTGGTCGAGGTCGCTTCATACTGGGGAGGACGAGGAGGGCTGTGAGGACTGAGGCCGGCCAAGTTAGGGTCGTGTCCGGTGATCGGTGGAAGGGTCATCCAAGCACCATGCACATCGGTTTCCTGCGCCTGGAGCCCAACAGCCTCTTCCTTCCCCAATACGTCGACGCCAATCTCATCCAATTCGTACGTGAAGGTAAGCCTCTCTCTGCAGTCATGAACTGGTAATACGTTTACTCGTGGAATGATTTTGTGATCATGTATATGAAGGTGAGGTGGAGGCTGGGTGGATTCACAAGGACGAGTTGGTGCAGAGAAAGCTCAAGAGAGGGGACATCAACGTGATCCCTGCCGGATCACCCTTCTACATCGCGAACACTAACTCGGAGAGGTCACACATGGTTTGTGGCATCGACACTTCCCAGAGTTTGACATACAATTCGCAACAAGTGAGTGGCCTTCTATTCTTGTTCTGATACCATGGATCCAAGAGTTTCATGCTTAGTTGATGTCTACTTGGCAGTCGTTCTTCATCGGCGGTGGAACAAATCCAACCTCAGTGCTTGCTGGATTCGATGTCAACACACTCGCAAATGCATTCAACGTAACACAATTCATTTGTACATGATATAAGATTCAATTTTAGACGAGTCGAATCTCTTCAAATTACATTTGAGTTCTTGGATCCTCACAGATCACCTCTGATCAACTGCGTCCAATGATGCGGAGACAAAGTGGTGGTCCGATCGTTCACTTCAGTGGTCAGCAAGAGGAAGAGTTGGATCCCAACAACGATGACGAGGAGGCAGCCACCACATGGACACGGAAGAATCTCCTCGACTATTTATTTGGCAGGAGTGGTCGCGAGAAAGCAAGATCGACTGAATCCCACCACGCCCCGTACGCGTTCAACCTTTACAACAACGAGCCGAGCTTTCAGAATAGCTATGGATGGAGTACCGCCATTGACGAGCATGACTATTCCCTTCTCAGTAGCTGCGGCGTTGGCGTCTATCTGGTCAACCTCACTGCGGTCAGTGGTCGCACTTGTTAATCTGTGAAAACTTGAACTACGGAAGTTGGACAGATTGTTTCCTTTAGTCAACTGCGGTCGAATTTATATGATCTATTGCAGGGATCGATGATGGCGCCACACTTCAACCCAGTGGCCACCGAGTACGGCGTCATTCTGAGCGGCTCCGGTAGCATTGAGGTGGTCTACCCGAATGGTTCGACCGCAATGAACGCCGAGGTGTCGGAGGGCGACGTGTTCTGGATCCCGCGCTACCACCCTTTCTGCCAGGTCGCGTCCCGCGGAGGGCCGATGGAGTTCTTTGGCTTCACAACATCCTCCAAGAGAAATCATCCGCAGTTCCTCGCCGGTGCGAGCTCAGTGCTTCGGAGCATGAGTGGGCCGGAGCTGGCGACAGCCTTCGGGGTGAGTGAGGAGCAGCTGGGGAGGCTTGTCAAGGCCCAGAGGGAGTCCGTTATACTTCCTGCTTCGAACAACTGGGACGGCGGCCGAGAGACCGCGGACGAAAGGAAGAAGGAGAAGATGGTGGAGGAGTTGCTGGTGATCAAGAGAGGCTTCCTTGCATGAGCTCTTGTTTCACTATTGGCTTTCTGAATTCATAAGATTTCTATTGTCTTTTTGCTTGTAATCGTCTCTTTTGGTTTCTTCATAAGTAGAGACAGTTCGTTTCCTCATTGATATACTTAATTGGCTTACTTTTCTCAAGAATCAAAGTAGCACAAGGAAGAAGATGATGCCATGATAGACATATATGATTACCAAGCATATTCATTCTACAATCCATAGAGCATCTTAAACTTGTGATACAGAGAAAGGACTGCCACACTATATATTGGCTGATTACAAGTTAGAATTGCACAGATTTTTAAGGATCCTTAATATTGTACCACCCATCATCATCTTCCAGGAACATGTCCAAGTCCCAGGGTTCTGTGGCCACCATATCCGACCCGAGCAGCTCACAGTCTTGTGCTTGATCGCTGATCCACAAGCCTTCATCCTGAGCCTCGATTGCAGCGTGGGCTAAGGGAGAAAGGTGATTCTCCTGAAGCTTCAAGGTGCATCTGGAACCACTGGCATGAACAGAGGGTTCCTTTGGAGCAGATTCCATTACAGAAGGGAAGGCGACATTGATGGTTTTGCAGGTATGTGGCGCTCTGTACTGGACGCTGAACCTGGGAGGATCGCCGTAGCTATCCTCTTGTTGTACCGTCTTCTTTGCTAAACATCCTTGCTTGTCCCTGAAAACGCACCTGTAGTAGTTCCTGTGTTCATGGAAGCATGCATTACAACTAGAATTAATGTACTGGGAAAACCTTAATTGCTGAAGGGAGTTTACTGGTGAAGATGATTACTTTGGATACTTGGCGTTCTTGATAGTTTTGTGCCCGTACTTCCTCCACTGATGGCCGTCGTCAAAGGGGGAAGTTGTAGCTATCGACCACGTTTCCGGCTTGCTCCTGCAACAAGTTTAATCCGATGGAAAGTTTAATACGATGATCAATTACTTCAAAGAGAAGTTCAAACTGCAAGATGAAGAATAGAATTACCAGCTTCTCTTCAAACTCTTCCTCGTATCGTTGACATATATGTCTCTTTGGGAGTCCTCAGAGGCATCGGACGATCCACAGACACAGGACTGAAGCCTTGAGAGCGCCGAGGATGTGAACTTTCGTATCTCCTCAAGCATATCCCCTCCATTGGAAGGATGCAACTGCAGAAGAACAGCATGTAGTTGGCTCAGCAACTCTTGCGCCCTATTGATGTCTTGGATCGCCATGCGATGATTACAAGCCGAAGGCACTGCAGATTCATGACGTGGTGCAGTCTTCTTCTCCTCCATCTTCCCTATCACACGAACGGTTGCTTATCCCCCCTTCCCCCCTCTATATAACGAAGGGTGCATCACACGCAGGCCATGCAAATAAGGGAATGCGTGCATGTCAGCGACCTCATATGAACTGAGACTGCTCATCCAGAGTGGCCCGTATCGAGCCGAAATTGACGTCAAGCACATTCTTTAGACCTTACAAATCAGCTCACACGGTGTGACTCATTCCATTTATGAGGGCGGAAGATGTTCAGATAGATACACGGAACTGTGGACTAAGGTGCATCCATCTTTCCCTCGGTTTATATACCGTCCTTGCTGTTCTCACCCGGTCCACAACAATAGCATCTTTGATCTAAGTCAACGATGTAGACGCTTCTCTATCATCTTGCAGTCAAAGACTCGCAAAAGACCATTTCTCAGCAGGAGGTAGGCGGCCAAATATTATCACAGTGTGTGTAGGCCACAGAGAGAGAGAGAGAGCGAGAGCGAGATGTCCTTTTCCATGCAATGGATTTCAAGCACGTGGACTCGGCTTTCATGCAAAGCAGAGACGTCGTCAAAGAGGAGATGAAGGAAGAATTATTGGCTATATTCTCTTTTTTTGTACCGTTTTCTTTTTCCTATCATTCTTCTCAGCTCCTCAGAGAAAAGTCAAACACAGGCAGGTTGACGTGAGGGAAGGTTCATTCTTCTCCACACCAAGCAATGGCATCCAACAAAGATGACACACTCACTGTCACAGCAACAAACACAGCTATCGATTATAAAGCAGTGTCGATGCAGAAGGAAAATGAATTAGGACATAGCCCTATATCATTCATCACTAACAGCTAAAGTCAACTACTTTAACTAAAGTTGGAATACGACCACTCCTTTAATACGAAACATGAACATTGCTTGTTCTTTAACGCTTTGACTCAACTTTTTTCTAGAAAAGGGAAAAATATCATTTGATTACTATGGAGAGATTACATTCCAAAAAAGGTACCAGCCGGAAGTGAAGTCAAAGTTCCGAAACAAGAGAACTCACATGTGGAATTAATTTGAATTGCCATCAAGATCACATGTCGAACTTGAATTGAACTTAAATATGTGTTAGAACTGTTTTTACAATTGATGAAGAAACATATTTATTGATCATAATTATAACTTTGAGCATACTACTCGGAATGAGTTGATATCAACCTGTTCAAAGAGTACATTCCAAGTATTAATTTTTTAGAGGCTTAGATTATGCTAAATATGCTATCACCTATTAAATCTCTGATCAAATTGGATCACAAACTATGCATGATTACAATGAAAATGGTTCATGAAGCCTCTTAAGCTAATGTTATGTGCGAAGATTTTGGATATTATATGCATAGATGTTAGATTATGCGATCCTATTTAATTGGATAAGATTTATTAGATCAGATTTTGATTACTGTTATCGATCAAACCTTTGCCTCGTCTATAAATAAATAAGACCTTTAATGGACTATACACATAATAATTAGTACGTACATATACAGATAAAAGAGATTGGATATGTAAAATGATTAAAAGATTATCACGAAATAGGGCGAATGGTACGCTCGCAGATCAGATAGAAGTTTTCTGAATAACATCGAAAGGTATGTATCGTAAATTTAGATATATTATTATTTGATTTCATATTTTGATATTAATTTTTTTCATATAACAATAATAATATATTATAATTTTTATACTCGTAATAGATTCATATATATACAACACGTGTGTGATCAAAAAAATCTTCAAAAACATTTAAGTGAGTATGATTTTGGAACCAGAGAATGAGTTATTGTCCAACGGTACACATATAGCATTTAGGTTTGGATCTTGTAATTTGGTACGTCTAATAGAGCATTATAGAATAATTTTTGTACATAAAAATTATGCAGTCAAAATCTTGTTGATTCAACAAGCCAACATAGCTTCATTAAAATATCCATAGAGAAATTAAACCTTATTCTGCAACACAGCTGACATAAATATAATTTCTCTAACAAAATTTCCTGTCTCAATTTTTCTAAGCATTGTATAATGCAGTACAAATTCCAACATAAAATTTATTAGGCAACTTAGAACAGCTCAAGATAAAAGATGATTACGACTTGATGAGAACTACTCACCAACATAACATGGCATTCGTTATTCTCATTCTGTCTGTCCTTTTTTTTCCTCTAGTCTTGCCCATCACATATCAAAGAGATTTGATTTTCGATATACCGATATATTTTTTTTAGATATTCTAATGGTGAATATTTTCGTTTTGTAGGATATGCTCGACTAATATCACGAGTCTATTATTATTAATTTCAACCTAAGTAATTATATTATTGAGGTTCATCGTGACAAATGATATTATTATTGATTTAGTATTACCAAGATATTTAAGTAAAAAATAACCATTTATAAGTTGTATTATAAAGTATATCAAACATGAAGTCACGATTGCACTATGTCTCGTATCGATCATACTAACATTTATTTCTAAAAATATATTAGGTCTTCGATAGAAACATCAAGTACTTGAATTAGATTATCAAGACTTAATGAGTCTATTACCATTAGTTTGAGTTTAAACATTTTGGATCAATAAATTCAGATGTAATAAATTAATTATCTTATCAAATCATGACAAACAATAGTCAAAACATCCTAATATTGAATGTGACAAATGATCCAAAGATAGATTACTACAAAGTGACCATTTACGTGTATCATATTAAATTGTTAGTAATGACTCGGAGTCACCACATGCTGCTCGACAGGCCCTCCTTTGGGTTCGCCAGCATGTATTCATGATGGGATCGCCCGAGTCGAGTTAGTAATGACTCGGAGTAACCACATGCTGCTCAAGCGGTTCTCCTTGGGTTCTCCGACGCGACTGCCGGTCGCTCTCTTCCAGCCTCCACGTACCTCGCCGACCTCCGACTCCACCGCGGTTGGTTTCCACGAGAGGGAGCAGAGCCACATCTCCTTCCTGGAGTCATGCTCCACCCTGCGGGACCTGAGTCAGGTCCATGCCCGGATCGTCCGGACCGGCTTCGAGCAGCATGTCTTCGTCGTGGGCAGGCTCATCTCCTTCTGCTCCAGCTCGGAGCAGAGGGGATGCATGGACTACGCGTCCGCCGTCTTCCGGCAGCTCAACTGGCCGGATGGGTTCCTCTGGAACACCATGATCAGAGGGCTCGGGAGGGCCAACAGACCCGCGGAGGCGTTCCTTTTCTACCGAAGGATGAGAGAGGAGGGGAAGAACGCCGATAACTTCACGTTCTCTTTCCTACTCAATATCTGCGGCCAGTTGTCGGCGGTCGAGTTGGGCAAGCAGGTCCACTGCTGCGTGCTCAAGGTCGGCGTGGATTCTCATGTCTTCGTCTCCAACAGTCTCATCCACACGTACGCTCTCTTCGACGACATGGTCGCCGCGCGGCAGGTGTTCGAAGAATCGTCCGAGAGAGATCTGGTGTCATGGAACAGTCTCATCGCCGGGTACGTGCACTGCGGCCTGCACCTCGAGGCGCTGAAGATGTTCCTGAGAATGCTGAGGACCAGCTTCCTCGGGCCGGACAAGGCCACGTTGGTGGTAATCCTTGCCGCATGTTCGAGGCTGGGAGCGTTGGACTTCGGCAGATGGGTGCATTCCATCGCCGGCAGTTCCACCCATGGTTGCCGTCTCAGAGTGACCAACTCTCTAATCGATATGTATGCAAAGTGCGGAGCGATCGACAGAGCCGTCGAGGTATTCGACGATATGACGGAGAGAGACACGGTCTCGTGGAACTCCTTGATTCTGGGACTAGCCATGCACGGGCGGGCGGCCGAAGCGATATCACTCTTCGAAAGGATGCGTCGGTGCGAACTCGAAGAGCCAAACGACATTACATTCCTGGGAGTCCTCTGCGCCTGCAGCCATGGAGGTTTAGTAGAAGAAGGTCGGAGGTACTTCGACAAAATGACGAGGGACTACAACATCTCTCCCAGCATAAGGCACTACGGATGCCTGGTGGACGTTCTTGGGCGATCAGGACAGGTGAGGGAAGCTTTCCATGTGATCAGGAACATGCCGATGGAATGCAATGCTGTGGTTTGGAGGACGCTGCTGGGCGCATGCCGAGTCCACGGGGACCTCGAATTGGGTCAGCGTGTGCAGGAGCACCTCGAGGAGCTGGAACCCTATCATAGCAGCGATTACCTGCTCCTGTCTCACATGTACGCCAAGGCCGGCCATTGGAATGATGTCTTTCAGGTCAGAGAAGCCATGAGAGAGAGACGAGTTCAGAAGCCAGAACCCGGCAACAGCTCCGTCAACGTTCTTCCTAATGAAATATATCTCGGTCAACAAGTTCTATATCATTGACTGCGTCGTTAGTCAAAGAAAGCGAGTCAAAGACGAGAACGGAAGTGAAGACCACCGATTCTTCTCCGTGTTCTGATCTGTTCATCGCTCTTCTTGGTTTCTTCCCTACCTGAATTGGTTCTCTGGGAGAGGGGATTTAGAGGGGTTTCGTCTCTTGCCAACACAGATCGGATAAGAAGTAGATCTGTCGGATTCATCCGTCGGATGGCCATGACGACGAGGTCCGATCCCCAATTAGCTTTCTTCCTCGCCCTCGTCCTCTTGTGTCTCGTCTCCTGCAACGCCCAGCAACAGTACGAGAACAACAGGCAACTCGACTGCACCACCACCGACTCCTCCACTCTGGGCTACACCTGCAACGGCGTCCGCTCCTGCTCCTCCTACCTCACTTTCCGATCCCAGATCGCCTACCAGTCGCCGGTACTGATCGCATACCTATTAGGCGCCGACGCCGACAACATCTCCCGCATCAACGGCGTCGCTACCGAGTTCGCCAACGTCCCCAACGACCAACTCGTCCTCGTGCCGGTCCCCTGCTCCTGCTCCGGCGGCTACTACCAGCACAACGTCTCCTACACCTTGACCTCCAGGGACACCTACTTCATAGTGGCCAACGATACCTACCAGGGCCTCTCCACCTGCCAGGCCCTCATAGCGCAGAACCCTTACGGCAGCCTCAACCTCACCGCCGGCCTCCGGGTGGATGTTCCCCTCCGCTGCGCCTGCCCCACCGCCGAACAAACCAGCAGCGGCATCAAGTACTTGCTCACATACCTCATCACCTGGGGCGATGACGTCCCCACCATCGCTGACCGCTTCCACGCCGACTACCAGGCGGTGCTGCACGCGAACAATATCTCCTCCTCCTCCACCATCTATCCTTTCACGACTCTCTTGGTGCCCCTCGAAACCGAGCCCACCAAAGACGAAGTCGCAAGCTCACCCTCGGCGCCTCCTCCGCCCCAGACAGCCGACACGCCGCCCAACGACGGGAGCGGGAGCAGTTCCTCTGGCCACAAATGGGTCTTCGTTGGGGTCGGAATCGGAGTTGGCCTTCTGGCTTTGTGCTGCGCCGGAGGCCTGATCTGGCTCCTGTGCTACAGGCAGCGGCGGCGGCGCCGCATCCCTGTTCCTGATGTCCCCGTTCCGTTCAAGACTGCAGAGTCTTCGGCGAATTACTCCGAGCTGTCCGACAAGAGGTCGGGGCCTCCCACTTCAGTCTCCGTCCAAAGCGTTCGCAGTGCTATCGAGTCGCTGACGGTCTACGAATTCCGAGCGCTCGAGGCCGCTACCGCGGCCTTCGGCGAAGACCACAGGATCATGGGATCCGTTTACAGAGGAGTCATCAACGGGGACGCCGCCGCCATCAAGAGACTCAAAGGCGACGCCTCGAATGAGATCAACATCCTGAAGCAGATCAACCACTCCAACGTGATCCGCCTGTCGGGCTTCTGCCTTCACGACGGCAACACCTACCTTGTCTACGAGTTCGCCGAAAAAGGCTCCCTGGGAGACTGGCTTCATCACCACAACAAGAACGATAGCTCGAGCTGCCTTGGCTGGAAGGAGAGGGTTCAGATCGCTCACGACGTTGCTCATGGGCTCAACTACCTGCACGACTACGCCAGCCCACCGTACGTCCACCAGAACTTGAAGAGCAGCAACATCCTGCTCGACGGGGAGCTCAGAGCCAAGCTCGCCAACTTCGGCCTTGCGAGACCGATGGAGGACGGGGAAAGGCCTCACCTGACGCGACACGTCGTGGGTACGCAGGGGTACATGGCGCCGGAGTATCTGGAGCACGGCCTCGTCACTCCTAAGCTGGATGTGTTCGCTTTCGGGGTGGTGCTGCTGGAGCTGCTGTCGGGGAAGGAAGCTACGTTCACGGAGGAGGGTGAGAAGCAAGACACGCTGCTGTGGGCGTGCGTGGGATCGGTGATAAGCGGAGAGGATGCGCGTGGCAGGCTGATGGCTTTCGTCGACCCGTGCCTGGGACGCCAGTATCCTCTCGAGTTGGCTCATGCCATGGCGGAACTGGCGATGCTGTGTGTGGCACGCGATCCGGGGTCGCGCCCAAGCATGACAGAGGTGCTTGTGTCCCTCTCGGCGATTCACGATTCCACCTTGGATTGGGATTCGTCGGACCTTGCAGATTCCAGTTCCATGATCCATGGAAGATAGGCTTCCGGTTCTCCCTTGTGTTTGAGGAAGATTCCACACGAGTGGACAGACATTTATAAGTTGATGTCATTTCAAGATGGAATAAATGTCGCAGGGTCGATTTCTCACCCTTCTTTCTGTTTGTGATAATGCGTGAATAAAGTAGAGATGTCTTTGTAGAAATATTTAATTTTTGATTCTCTACGTTTCTGTAGTCTGTGATTAGCAGGTTGTTGATCAACTTTGCACATCAAATTGTTGGAAATAAATTTTGAAATAAACTTAAGTTTTATATTTATTTTACCCTTCTTTTATATTTGTCCCTATAGTTCAAGATTTTTACTGTGCTTCGTCTCTTATGAACAAAAGTTAGCGGGACTGTGTGATGCATGAAATGATCAAATTCGAAGCGTGATAATATAATTGAATTCAATCGTGAAGTATCTCAACGTGAACGTGAATACGATCATGAAGCATCATCTAACGATAACACAATCGCAATGAAGTGTCCCCCAATGATAATATGATTGAATTTGACCATCAAATATCTTCTAATGATGACATTATCAAATTCGATCATGAATCCTTTAACAATGATTTGATTAAACCTAATCACAAACCATCCCCAAACGATGATATATTTGAATCCGATCATGAAATATCCCATAATGACAATGTGATCAACTCTAGCTGTGAAGCATCACTCAATGATGACGTGACCAAACAAAAACGTAAAGCATTCTTCGATCACGATACGATTAACTTAGATCACGAAACATCACTCGAAGATGATGTGACCTAATTTAGCCATAAAATGTGTCTCAATCATGATACGTCCGACTCGAGCATAGAAGCATCATTCGATGATGACAAGGCCATCAATCGAATCCAACTGAATGAATCAATGCAAACGAATCAAGCCACACAAGCAACAATGATGCAAATAAAGTGGATCTTACACTACTAAACAACTTTAAGTCAACACCTTCAGGGGTGGAATGGATGACATAGTCGAATAATCTACCCAACAATGGCATCAAGTCCCTCCCCATCCTTTCTATGTGTGATGAAATACAGATGATGCTGGGCTTTGATATGTAGACAATCCGTTACACATCATAGTCGTCTAATCAATGGAATGATAACTTAATACCAATAGGAGGGGTGGTGACTCGAGATCGACAAGATGGTCTCTTCGATTGGAATGACAACTGGTGGCCCCCATGATCTACAACCAAAATCCCCGACAATTCAACCTATAATAATCGAAATAATCATTCCAAAGATTCATCTTTACCTCAACTCAACAATCATCCTGACATGCTACGTAATGCCCATCGAGTGTATCCTTGATGGGATCTAAGAAAATCCCAACTATGATAATTTTTAGAACCATCCAAATCCTCCACTAATTTGGGGAGTGGGCCCAAGTTGGATCCAAAACTCTTACCACATGTAACAATCACAATCTGGCTTATCACTCAAAATTGGCAAAAGATCTATTAATACCTTCCACGAGTTAGTATAACAACGAATGAGGCGCCAGTCAACGATAATTTACCCGTTACATCTTAAAACATAGAATACAACACTGCTACAGTATATGCCCTCCAGCACTGCAGCTGCAGAACATAATAGCGGCTGACGCTCAAGATTAAGCTAGCCAAATTCTAGCTCTACTATCATCTATATCTCTAACCAAAGAGGCGTTTTTTCTTGACATTTTGGACACCAGTATCAGTTTCTGGAGAGTCCTCAACAATAGATTCTTCCTGTATCACCAATCCCCGATTTCTAGTCAGCTTTCGGATAGGTGTTGCAGGCGCAGCTGACTCAACACCACCAACCTCTGAGCCAGATGTATTTGCACGTATCCTGTGTGGCATCAACTCTTCTCCAACATCTACATTATCTATCATCAACTGCCAAAAGACACAACAATATCATATCAACCATATATATCCATTGCCGACTATATAGGCATCTCAATCTAGTATATGTAACACAAACATGGCTAATCATGATAATGCACCATTCATAAAGTCGTAATTGCCTCCCGGATATCGGGGCAATTAGTAGACTAAATGAAAGGGTGACACATCTTCAATTCAAGATATCTTTGGTTACATGAATAATCTCAAAACTGACATATCAAGCATTAGGCAAATCAAGAAGACAAAATGGTAATAAACACATGTGATGGTTTCTTCTCCCATGGCTCTCTAAAAAATCCCAGTTAGTTTCCCCAAAATTGATAATTAATATCATGTTCACAACTTGATCCGTAACAACTAGATTTGGATAGAGAAAAAGGATACTAGAATGTCAAAGCAAAACCAAAAAAAAAAAAGTAGACAACCAGTTATGCAGTTCATACTCCATACCTTCCAGTCCTTGAAGTCAAATCTGAAAACAAAATGACTGTATGAGACATCACCCGAAGCCACAGCGGTGGCCACAGGAGCATTTCTTGGAGCTGGTAACAAAATTAGAAGCATATCAGAAGTTCCTTAAGGGGCTAACAAAGGTCAAATGAAATACTGAGCATTCCAAGATGAAAACTTACAGACAATATGGTGCCTGCTATCATTCACTATGATTTCTGCTCTTCCATCTTTTACCAGAAATGATAGGGCGAATATATTCTCTACTGTCTGTGCAAAAGATTCTCTATTCAGAACCAGATTTTCCAACTTCACACTTCTCTTTCTTCTTAAGATATCAAACATGGTTGACATATTCTTGTCTGTGTCAGTTTTCACTTCAGTTCCAGCATCAGCAAGCTGTATATCACCAGAAAACAATACATATATATATAACTCCAATAATGTAATGTATTAGCCTGTACTTATAAAGAACAGCTACTAGGAGTACATTATTCAGCCAATCTTGCTGTGCATTAATGGAAGCTTTTGAACTTCAATAATTAACATTAAATACAATAACCATGCATAATTATTCCAGATAACAGATAAGACCTTAGAGTGGACTTTACATATCAGACAATCATGTCTCCTTCACAATTGTTGAGGTACAACAATAATAAATCTTGCAAGGGTCTCTTATTGGCATAATACAGCATTGCATGCATCTCCCCGAAACAGAGGACAAAATAATAGGGAAAAACAAGTGCATATAACATGATAATAATCTGCACATTTTGCAACCGAAGCAGCAGAAGCAATACCAAGAGTCACTAAACAGCTAGTAAGATACAATTTGGTTTTCACCAAAACTAGTCCAAATAATATTATGGTATTGAGAGCAGTCACAAAAATTTTTTAACATTGTTTAGAACAACTTTCCAGTCAAAGTGACAGGCATACCATCCTTGAAGAGTTAAATAAACAAGCTCAGAGGCACTAACCTCTTCAGGATGAGTGCTTTCAGTTGGTCTTGTTCGTTTTCTCTGAGCAACAACCTTCCGCTGCTTCAATTCAGTATTCATGGGACCGATCCTGGCATTATGAAAAACGAATGATAAGAATGACAAGCACAAAGGCGCATGTACCTAATTATTGCAACAGACACTTTGAAGTCAACTTAGATTTATCATGAAAAAACCTATCACCATCTACTCAATCAGACACTCAACAGAAGATCTATGAGAACTATTACATTGTATGATATCCAGGTGCACTTCTGAAAACATGGGAGACAGCATGACCAACATCTGACCAATGGAGATTGTTCAAAGTACTCCCCAAGTCTGATCCACCATTTTGTTCACCGAAGTTCCTCAGGAGGGTGGTAACAAAATCTGAAGGGGTCACACCTTCATTTGTTTGAGATTTAACTGATGTTACCAGGGTGCAGGCAATGTCTAAAAGAGCCTCTGCATCTGCTACTTGCTCCCTGGGCTTCTGAACTGTGATCATAAGATGAAATTTTGTAAAACAGAAGCGGAATGATGAACCATTTGAGAAAGGTAGATAGATAAAAACTTCAAGTCCATTCAGCACAATCACCTAAAATTTACCATGCAATTGATTACATAGAGACTAGAGAGTTCATCAGTTACCAAAGTAATGATATCTATGACTAATCAATGCTTCTCTACGCTAGACCATGAATAGTACATGAGGTAAACATACATGGTACCTTAAGCAGCAAGAAAAACTTATACATATACCTACAGAAAGTAGGAAAAGGAGGAAGGGAACATTATAAAAGATAAACAGAAAAGGTTCGATAACTTTGATACTCATATCAGACAGAATTGTCAAGTTAACATTTCACAAATGTCACCCTGAATGGACGGTAGTAAAATCCTGTAAAGGGAGAGTTAAATCCCATGAACAAATATAGCATTTGCAAACAACTTTACATAAGCAGATAATCATATAATATGCGTTAGTCATCCTGCTGTTCAACCAAAAGATATTACAATGCATCGGCCAGACCACCATTCCTTGCAAGTATATCTCCTGATTGCAAACAATAAAAAAAAAACCCTCTTTTCTATAGCAGCGTTATCCTAATGAGGGTTTCCTCATGTTTCAAAGAGAAGGAAATTAATATACGTTTTGCAATGGCGACACTGAAGAATAGAAGCAGAAGGGAAAAGTCATGACGCATGATTTAGGCAAGTGCTACAATCTGGCATACATACCAAGTTCGTGCAAGCTCTCAACCTCCGTGATAATTGAGTTGAATTTGTCGGAATCAACTTTCGTGATATCTTCCCTCTTATCTGAGACCCATTTCAGTAAAAAGAAAGAAACCTAATCAGCCTGAGAAGTATCAGAGGGAGAGGGCACAATTTAATCGAATACCAACCGCTGATCATGTTCTTCACGGCCAGATACCGGGATCGAAGAACCCGACGATGCGCTGTCCCTTGGCGATTTGACGACGCGGCTCCGGCATCGTTGCCCTGCCCGTTCTCCCCTCCTCCTCCGCCCCTACCTTCCGGAAGTCGCTGCTTCGTTGCCCTCACCATAGTGTGCGCAGTCAGGAAATCCAATCTCACACTGCAACCCCGACACCTCCAACGATTCCTGGCCAATTATCGATCTATCGCCGTCCGACAGGGTTTAGGGAAAACTTCCGAGCGAATAGAATTACCGATCGGGAAACCAGCCAGCATTACCATGAACGGCAGGTAGGAGAGGGAAGAAGCAGCGGCCAGCGCAAGGGTTTTGGGGGAAGAGACAGATGGAATTGTAAGAGATAAGAGCGGCAGGCCAATTTCGGAGTTCCAATCCCGACCGCGCTCTTTCCCTTCCCGTCAAAATTAGGAGAAGGCCGCTCTTTGGTTTATTCTCTTTTTCATTATATATATATATATATATATATAATATTTATATCTATATGTTTTGGGAGAAAAAAAATCCTCTATCCTATTTTATTTTCCAAAAACCATCCCTCATTTCCCAATAAAAGCCACAAATATTATATATATATATATATATATATATATATATATATATATATATATATAAGATTTATCAACGTGATACAGTCGACACTCATTTGATGATAGCAACGTTTAAAGAGACTCGAGTTTAACGCAGAGTGATATCTTTGATGGAACACAAACTATCATTATATCCTTGATGGAACACAAACTATCATCACAGCTCAAAATGATCATATAATGAGGATGGTGGAACGAACCTTCTTCACCTATTATCGTAATACCACAATAATGTTTTGATATACAATATGTCCAGTAATCTACTCTTTTTCTCATCATAATGTGTAGGTCATGCAATTAGGATGGTGGAACGAACCTTCTTCGCCTATCATCGTAACACCACAATAATGTTTTCTTAGGCAGATATAAAATATGTCTAATAATCTAATATTTTTCTCATCATAATGTGTATTAATAAAATATGTCCTCTCTCTTGTGATATAGCAACTTTGTCATGGTGCCACTATTAAATCTTGTAGCTTGCACTTTTTGGTTTTGTTTCTGTGATCCATGGTGTTCATAGAAGGTTGTGATAGTAGCAGAAGAACATTTGGTAAGCAATTACAACTTTGCTGGGTAAGAGGAAATCGGTCGGTTATGAATGAGTTGAGTATGATGTCATCTAGTTCAAAGAGCCCCAGTGAATGATGTCACAGTAGAGTGATATCCTTGATGGAACACAAACCATCGCCACACCTCAAAAGGGTCATGCAATGAAGTGGAACGAACCTACTTGGCCTATCAACGTAACACAACAATAATGCTTTCTTATCATAATGTGTCCAGTAATCTACTCTTTTTCTCATCATAATGTGTATTAATAAAACCACAGTTCTCTGTCGTATATCTGTTCTGTTAATTTCCATCACAGACAACAATAATCAAAGAAAAGATACCTAATAACACCGTATACTAAGGTTTCAGTGATCAAATCCAAGAATAAAAATTGCTCTAATGTGAATAAATAAAATAGTAAGTTTCATTTCATACAGAGCTTCAGGCCAGTATCAGGGGAACACTTTGCTTGAGGTCTGTGGGCGAAATGACATTTTATTCCGAAAACCATCTTGTGATCAAAATTATGCAGCATGAGCCATGGCATCAGGTGCCTCTCCAAGCCTGCATTTAGGAGATAATTTAGGCACAAGCTTTAAACAAAGGAGACAAAGTCCAATCACATAGAAACCATAAGAGGTGATAGTATCCTTTGAGTATCCTCATTTTTCTTGTATGATTCATTAACCATTGCCGGCAACTAGGTTCTTCTGACAAAAACAAAACCACCAACAAACATTTTTCATATACCAATATTTTGTACAAAAAGTTCCAACTACTAAAGAACTTTCATCCTGCACAAACATGTCAGATAAGAATGGACGAAGCCGGCTAACATTTTCCAATCATGCATTACAACCTGTTGCAGGTGTATAAATCTTTGCAGTTCTTACCAAACCTAAATCTGTAGCTTAAAAACAGCAATAAGGACACATCTGTAATTCTAATATCCTTAATTTCTTGCTTGAAGAAGTAAGCAAGCCAGAACAAAAAAGCTTGACAACAGAATAGTTCCGGGTGAATGCCAATGTGTTCAAAGACAGACTTGAAATGCAAAGCAAAGCTAAATTGATGACCACAATTAAGAGTTACAGATTTAACCACACCATTTTACCTAATAAAATAAATACTGCTTGATCACATTTAATTCTTAAATATTGCATGGATAAGAATATGATTTCCCACATGTGAATCTAACTTAACCTGCCTTAATCAGGCTAATGATGTTTGTTCCAGAGTTTGTTAATGCTAAGTATGATGGAATTCATTCTTGGAATATTGAGTATCACCGCAAAACTTGTTGGTCTTGGAGGTTTTTCTAAAAGCCATGGAACATCTGCATCCTGCTTTCTCTTATATCATTGGTGATGGTACTTGTAGGTTCCATCAATATCAGGACAGATAATTGGCTTTTTGACACCCACATTTCTCTGAATCCTACTTCTGTAAATATTATGTTCGTTCAGGACTACACCTTATCCAATATGATTCAAAATAGGAAATGGACTTGCGCAATACTAATCTGAAGTTTAGTACTATCCTATCCAGACCTATCTTTAGAATTGATTTATCACTTTGTCCCTATGAGAATAAGTGGATTTGGAAACCAAGTCCAAAGGGCAATATCAACCAACTAATCTAAAGTTTAGTACTATCCTATCCAGATCTATCTTTGGAATTGATTAATCTCATCGTCCATATAAGAATAAGTAGACTTGGAAACCTAATTCCAAAGGGCAATATCAACCAACTAAGCTGAAGTTTAGTACTATCTTATCCAGATCTATCTTTGGAATTGATTTATCCCATTGTCTATATAAGAATAAGTGGATTTGGAAATCTCATTCCAAAGGGCAATATCAACCAATGCTGCTCATTCCCATCTATTCAACACTATGCTAATGACAGAACGAGAAATAAGGACTGGTGGATACTTTGGAAGATCCTTGTAGTTCTTTGTTCCTTGTGTTCTTCACTTTTGCTAGAGACCCTCACATAAACAGTTACCTACCACTGAATATATTGTTAGTCCCTGTCTCACTGTACCTAAGAAATGAAGTTTATGTGGGCATAAGTAGGATGGGGTTAATCATATTTTCTTCACTGTCATTTTGTTAAAATAATCTGGACCCTCCATAAGAGGAACATGGATGTTACTCCTTCCTTTTCTGAGCATTGACATGTTGGGAAATAGCTCAAGAAAGGAAATGATCATCATAATGCTCAGTTGATCTTAACAGCCTTGATTGCATCGGTGGTTGATTCGGAAGGCCCATAATGAGGCTGCTTTCCATGGACCCTCCATAATTACATGTCATGATTGCATACAGTTTGCGCTGGCTTCAAAAGAATCGAAGGGAGCAAAACCCTTGAAAACACCACAAAGATCTCATGTGGGAGCTCCTCATGAATCAATCCTATTAAAGAATGCAAAAACTAAAAACAATTATCTTATCTCATGTTCACTATGTTGCTCCAGTTCAGTTTATAAGTGATTGTCCTCATCACATCATTTATCATGCAATATTTGCTTATGGCCCCTTCGGAGCAACTGAAACTCAGTTGATGCTCTGTAGTTGCAACTTCAAAAATACAGTTGAAAACATTTAAATGCTTCTTCCAAGAAATAAAATAACTTCAAATATTAAAATTGTAAAAAAAATATTAATGAATTTCAACATATTTAAAACCCAGCTTACAGTAAGAAGATTTAGTATTGTAAAACAAAAATTCAACACAACGTCTACCTCTGGATGCCTTCTCCGACCTCCATTCTGAGGAAATTGCCAATTTTTACACAGGAACCAACTTCTTTTGATAAATCATTCAGCAGTGACTGCAGACAAAACCATCAAAACCAATGTGAAATTTCACACACAGAAAAATACCCTCGCAAAGTTAATATTAAAGCCTGAACTGATTTAGGGTTCCAAAATAAGGTGAATGACTACAGATGGAAGCCTCAATTAAATCAACGGTAAGCAATATCTGCAAATACTATATGTGAAAAAGATCCCAAACAGAACCACCCAATAAAAGATGTCTAAAGTCTGAACCCTTAATTACCTTCACTTTGACACTATCATTCATAACAAACTTCTGTTCCAATAAGACTACTTCTTCATAGTATTTCCTCATACGGCCTTCCACCATCTTTTCAACGGCCATCTGAGATTTTCCTGAACTTTCTGCCTGATATGAAAAAGAGAAAAAAACAACTTAACTGGCTGATAGAAAATTTGGAACATAGCAACATAGACATCTAGCAGGTCTAGTAGGAGATGAAAAACTACAAAGACTATATTAAGATGCATATTCAAGGTTAAATTAGAAGACAACAAGAGAATATACCTTAAAAATGAAAACTTAATCCAAAATATATTACTGCTTATAAACACTACAGAGATTTCACAAGGCACTAGGAACATAGATAACAATGAACAAGCAACAGCAGAATGCTTCTTGTGTGGCCATTATGGTATATTCTTTTTGCGAAAAATTGTTAGGCCAACGAAAGGAAGCGACTTGCACAAAGGCACTAGCACTATGATTATTATACCTAGTATGCTTGTAACTAAGTATATGCTTGGCTTCATTTATAACTTCGGGGCCCAGTCTTGACACAATAATAAGACTGAGATGATGCAACCTTGGTAAATTAGTTCAAATCATGAAAGCAACCTCCCAAACCCCTCACGAAGGGTCCCACTGCACATTTACAACCTCCCCATACCTAGTGACAGATTTTTTTTCTTTGTTGTTGAAATGGTAAGTAAATTATTTTTCTCAGAATAGCAGCAATCATATATAAATTCTTTTTCTCAAAATATGGATATTCTCACAAATTAATTTCCAATCAAGTAAAATTAAAATTGTTCACACACATATTATTCACACAAATGAATGTTGATATAAAGAGACCACAGAATTGGCAAATTGATAAAATGTAATCAGAAGAATCAAACAATCTGATTATAGAATTGTCAACGGTATCGAGGACCAACAACAAGGGAACACTCTACAAAGAGTACGGATCATAGCTAAAAGAAGTTTTATCTCCACACAAGTGGCTCTTGTCCCAATATCGTAGTCTGAATAAGAAACACATGGATGGAGTTCAGAATCTTTGATTCTACAATTATGGATAATTACCTACCTGTGCCTTAAGTATGTCACGCTCACTCTCTAAAGCCTCAGAAGGAACAAGTTCTTTAGACAAGAACAAAGGCTTCGATGCCACTATGTGCATTGCCAATGACGAACCAACCCCACGAAGAGCATCAAGTGAAGCATTGCCATCTTCTATCTCCAGTGTCAACAATCCAGCAATGCGGCCCAATCCTGGAAGAGAAACAAATAGCTACATCATGATAAACCATGTTAACTCTGATAATGTTCACCTCCCAAGCTGCTATGAAATTTGATCTAGCTTTAAGCATGACTAAAAGATCAAAACTGTCCATCATAAAAAAATTAAGTCCAAACATAAGTAGCACAATATAGATACTGAAGCATGATATCAACACTAATCAACAAACATGACTTGCTGGTAAAATACTATATTTAACTGTCAACCATCAAATTTAATTTTTGAAATGAGTCAACACACTTAAAGACTAAAATCAGTACCTTAATAAGTATACCTTAAAACCTAAATTATCATTGCAGGAGTGTAGAGTCTAACAAAACTTTAAAGATAATCATGTCAATCTGAAGGTAGCTAATCCAAAATACATCTAGCATTAATAGCATCAACGACCACAACCATCAACAATAAGAATACAACATTTAGGTATATTCAGACAGTAATTTCTAAAAATAGTTATTACAATATATGAGAGCCTCTATTTTCCTCAAAATATGAGTTTCCGGGATCAAAAACTATAATAACAGAACTGGGTTGCAAAAATATATAGCTGAGGGCATTTTCTTCTCTTTTTTCAAGAGGATCCCATCATCATTCTCTGTTAGAGATGTGAGAAGGTAGATATTGAATCTCACAAGTGTATGTGAGTTAGACAGACAAACCTTTCCATCCACTGCTGTGTCTATCAGCAGTATGTCAGATGATATGCAACCTAGATGGTTCTTTCATTGATACAAATGGAAGGAGCAACAAATGAAACAACTGTTAGCAAAAAGATATGCACAATATGTGTATTAGGCAAACCCAGTGAACGAGGCTCCCTCAAATCTGTAAAGGGTCAATATAAACAGCCTTACCTATGGTCACCCTTATTAAAAAGACCAGTACTCCGAAAATTGCAAATCATGCAAACAACTACATATTATAAAAATAGTAAATAGTGAGTCAATCATGAGATCATATATAGTGCCTTTGTTGTGTTATAATGCATATTGGTTGCACTTCCTAACTCCAATTCAAACAAACATTATTTATTGCCAACCACGTATGCAGGTGAATCGTACATCTTCCTAAATCCAATAAAGCTTGTTCAAAAATGTTAAAATAGTCTACTATTGGCTTACCTGGTTGGGGACATGTGTGTAGGTAAGATAAGACAGCACCATGTGAAGATGTGGACAATGCATAACCTCTTCTAATCTTCACATTCTCCCCAACCATGGCAGCAACTTCTGTAACTGCATTTTGCACTGTAGTTTCTCCAGAAATTTTTGGATGATCCAAATTAATCTTCATGTTCTATAATACAGTAACTTTCGTCATTAATTAAGCATCCAAAAAGAGAATACCAAATACCAATTACAAAAGAATCATGATATAAAATACATTTTTTCACTAGAATCTTCTGTTCAAACTGTCTCATATTGGTTCTCATAGATGTATTATGTTGGATTAGGTAAACAATAATATAATATACAATCAGTGCAAGTTCCATGATTGTTGCTAGTATGGAAACAAGAACACAGCTCTGTGGCAAAAAGAGAAAGCAGACTAGGTATCATCATCAGGAATTATTCTTGAGGCCAATTGATTGGCCACTTCCTCACTATTGTGGTTGACAAACCATAGGAGCCAGAATAAAAAACAGTGTCAAATAAACATTAAGCAGGAAAGCAAAAAGTGCTAAAGCAGGAAAAAAGAATTGCTCTAGCAAAATCAATGCATTAACTAGAAACAGTCTCCACACTGGCAAAAATGACCTTGGAGATACCGTCAATATTTGATTTATCTTCAGTTTCTTTGTGTAGGATAACCGTTCATGAATAAAGCCCTTTCTGATTACGCTCGTTTTTGTTATGCACATGACAAAGATGGCCCATGCATATAAATTTCTTCCTTCTGTAAAGCTAAGCCTTTTCTTCTATATATAAGACTCATACTTAATGAGCCAGAACCGGACAAATATCCGATCACCATCAGCCTCTCTCTTCCTTTTTTCTTTCCCTAATTTTACTTCCCTTCACTCTCTTTTTTCTGTATCTCTTGCATTGGTTTGGTAGTACTATAAGGTTCACACAAACTTCATAACACATGGAAATTATATGGTTATCTGGGAAAACACTCAACTCGAACAGAAGCTGGTTTCATGGTTACATACAACTTGCATGCTTGATATTAGAAGGGGAAATGAAGAAGAAAAAAAGAGCATTTATATTATTTGTCTACCTATATTTGCCATTAATTACAGTCACATATGACCTTTGGCATTCCTAGAACTTGTTTTATTAAATAATACAGAAAAAAATACTATACTATTCAAGCTGCTGGCCAGGTGGAACAAGTATTTAAAAAAGATTAAAAAAAAACAAATGGCCTATCAAACAAGATTCAGAAAAGTTGGATTTCCAAATCGGATCCTCATGAACAGGCAAAATTTGCAGAAAGAATCATATGTCATGTAGCATCCTTCTCTTTTTCGTAAGACAACTTTAGCATCTCGTCTAGCCTTTTCATATTGTAGTTGTACTAGTAAATTCAATTATTTTTCTGCTTGTCAGAATAAAGAGCATTTATATCAGCTTCAAAGTGACAGATGTTATAAGTTCTCAAGGCAGCTATGTGTGTCTGGAATGGTATCCCAGCTTTCTTGGTCAATTATAAATCTTACTGTCACAAACTAAGATCAACATCAGAATAAGTGCATTTGTACATGTGTACCTCCAAGTATTCAGGTCCAAATATAAAAGCTTCTTGAGTTTGCACCATTGAACTTTCAGCTGATAAAGCTATCTTTGCCAAAGACGAAGCCTGAAATAGGAAGAAAAAGTTTGTACTGCTCACCAGAAATCAATGACCATACAACAAAAAATTAAATAATCTTGGAAAAAAGTTGTAACTGGGGCATATAACTTGAATCATGCAGCAAATACATTCTGCCTCAAGGGATTCAAACTTTCTAAGTAGCAAAAGTAAAGTGACACTGAATACATATTTGATAGACTTAAATAAATATTTTGTTGCCAGTTTCTACATGTTTGATAGATGGATTTTATGCTCTTCTTTGCTGTTGTATTCTGGTGATGTAGGCCAATCCTTCTCAAGTTGTCTCAGTAACGCAATACAGAGATGTGATCCCCACCCAGTAGTTGAGGTCCTGCGCTTTAGTATGTACTGACAAATTGACAATGATACATGGAATGGGAAAGACAAGTTCAAGAAAAATCTTTGGGAATGATCTAGGTGTTCATCATTACACCTTCTAACCTTTCATAAGTGCACAACAAGCAATTGGGTGTAAGAATTTCAGGAAATCTTTTCTTTAAGGCAACAAAATGAAGTTTCAATGTCCTCATGCAATCGGATTTTTGAGGCTTCAAGCATATGAATATTGAATCCCTAAATTAAAGGGATATGCAATACAATATTGGTTAGAAAAGAGAGAATTTGATTCAACAAGAGGAAAGTTAAATTTTGCAAATGGAAGGAAGATCAAGCACCATAGCATGACAAAAAAAGAAAACAAAAAGAATGAGGTTTAAGAAGGAAAGCATTTCATTTGAGGAAATCCAACTGTTAATTTCTAGTGGAGAAATGATATTTAAATCAGGGTTCGCCATTTCGGATACCGGACCCATCTTAGAGATTTGTCGGATCGGTATATACCGGTGTACCAATACACAGTATGTTGAGGTGTGCCGATGGGGACTCCAGCGATCCGCATCTCGATTTCGAACCAGTCTGTGTTCGTACCATACCAACTCTAGCAGTACAACAAACGGTAATTTAAATAACTTCTGGCAGTCAATGTCGAGGTGCAAAATGTTGCTTTTATACTACCATGTCCTCGGGTCTGAAATCAACTAATTTTTATCTGTCTTGAATATTACCAGGCATAACTGCTGTCTGATACTAGTCTAAATTACTGAATTTTGTGTATTAAATACCTTAAATGCATCCATCTAAAAGACTTTAATGTAAAATAGAAGAAGGGAAACATGCATTCCTAGAGGAAAGATGTTTGTCTACTAGGAAACAAAACTTAGAGAGGAATATTCTCATGAACTAACCTCATCTAAATGGAGCTACTGAATTAGCTGAAAATTTAGGGAGAGAACTCCAAATATCTTGATCTTGCAAGATAAAGAGTTTAAGAAATTGTAACATCATTTTGTAAACAGTTTATGACATACTTAAAACTGAGATTTAGGAACATTGTCCTGTCTAGCATCTCTAGTTTACAGTCATCCCACTCCTTGGCTAAATCATAAAAATCCACATGGTCAATATCATGACAGCATTGTGGAGGGCTAGTACAAAATCTAGTGATTTCACCAAAGTTGAATGAATACTAACCAGGTATTGAAATACATCATTTCTTGCTACAAAGTCTGTCTCACAGTTGAGTTCAACTACAACAGCTTTTTTCTCAGTCTGTGCCACTGAAAGTAAACCCTCGGCAGCAGTTCTTGAGGATTTCTTTGCAGCAAGAACCACCCCTCTCTTTCTAAGGTCCTTCTGTGCAGCCTCTGTGTTATCAAGCAAAGCAATTATGTAGAGATAATGACCAGAAAAAACATTAAATAAAATGGATATTAGACAGAGTAATATGGCAACAAACCTAGATCCCAGTTACAAGTAACAAGAGAAAGTTTGACATCCTTAATAGGTGCACTTGTTCTTTCCCTCAACTGTTTGATGAGATTAATCTGCTCAGTAGCTGACACTTCGGTGCTAAACCTTCTCAAAAGCACTTGTCTTGAGGCATTCAAGTTTACCAACCCTCTTGGCTTAACTGCTGGCTCCCCTATACATGCCCGAAAAAAATAACCCTTTCTGGGCTGCCTACCAACACTCAATTCGCTGAGTATTAACCGTGTGAGACTCTTTGCACTTCTACAGCATGCCATTCTGAAAACCCAACAATATCATATAAGAACATAAGTCAATGAACAATAGGCTATAAATGTGGAAAAATTTAAATATATCCAACCAAGGCGTCTTCTTGGTACTTCAGTAGAATCAAGGAAGTTATCATGAAGCATGAAAATTTTACAAAATATACTAGAAACCACACATGTAAGAACAATATGCAATAATTTGAAATCAGCAAGTAAATAAAACTCGGAAAAACATAGATTCAATCTTTGTTCTTTATCACAAAAAAAAAAACGCCTGTGCAACTGAAAAGCAAAGAGAAGAACTAACACGCTTTAAATTTCCAACTGTCGTTTGGAGAACAATGAGTAGCCCCATCTTTTAGGATGTACATTAAGGAATCGGACAAACTAAGCAATTTATTAGATCACAAGAGAGAGGACGCCGTGAGGATAATACAAAGCAAATAAATTAGTCTAAAATCATGAAGTTCTTCCTATTATGACAAATTAAATGCTAACTAAGAAGGAAAAGTAGCGATTTCCATAAAAATATCCATAAACCATCGGAAAAATTTAGCAAAGGATTGAAGCACAAAAAAGCGAAGAGGGATTAACCAGAAAAGCAGGAGAAGGAGAATAACTGCAACGGATTCAACGAGAAATCGCACGACAGATGAAGAAGACAGAGAAGCATACCTACCGATTCTGCAGGACTAACAATTCCGGTTTGAGGAGGGAGAAAGAGCCGACTCCAATAGAATTGGGAGGGTTTGGCTCGAGGGTTTTAGTAGCCAAGATCCATTGATCGGAAGATCTGAACCGTTGAGTAGTTGGAAACACGACGACATCACAGCCATCAGATCACAAATGATTCCCAGAGCCGAAAGGTCCAACGAGGACCGTGAGAGGGTCGGATCGGGTTGCGATTCGGATCAGACGAATGATCCATATCCATGATCCGTTGATAGCGAGATCTGAACCGTTGAGCAGGTGGAGAGACGACGAAATGGCTGCCATCAGGTCAGAACCGTTTCCGAAAGCTCCAACAGCGGCTGTAAGAGGATCGGATCCGGATCCGGATCCGGAAAGAATAGGCGGATCGGGTCGTCATTCGGATCATACATCGATATCTGAGCCAATGATAGCAATCTTTGCCATTCCTTTGGCATATCAACCTCTGAAATGCCAAATGCGTTCACAAAATACAGATGATGAGAAGAGAAAGCCGACGCTGACATACGCATCGATGACAACGACGATGACGTGCGTATCTTAACATGAAGGGATCGGTACATAACAACAAACATCTGGTGATTGCGTGTTGCAGTGCCGAATGGAGAAGTGGCATTGATCCAACCCTCCGACGAGTATGCCCGCAGTGCTCTGTCCCTTTGGGCAACTCACATGGCCACAATGGGTTGACGTTTACTGTTAACATGGGGCAATTTCGTGGTTTAATATTTCCGACGACTTCCCGAGTCAACGCCGCCGGGGAGCGAGTCAACGCAGGTATTTAGTCCACCCCAACCCGATACAAAAGCCATTTAATATGCCCGCTTTTATTGACTTGACCCCGAAATGTTTTCGGTTATGTAACCCCGATGGGCATACCAATAAAACAACCCTGCTTTAAGATTGGATGAACGACATCATTTTACGTCATTGTACCCAATCCGATTCCGGTGCGTTTTGGGTCTGTTGTGATTGTGTGCGAGATACCCATTTTTCGTTTCAGACAATAAAAATGGACATTAATAAGAGTCTTAACGACTGTCGCTCGGAGGCTTACCGGTGAAGGAATTGCGTTCGGCTGTTGTTGGTTCCCCCTACGAGGCTTAGTGGTGGAGGTATAGCGTTCTGCTGTTGGTCGATTGAAGTTCTTCGATTGACGCGGCTCACATATTCCTGGCTGGTGGATAAAATCGCATCTCCCGAAGCCCTTTTTTTGGTGAGTTTTGTCTTCGGATTTGTTTCGTGAGTTGCAATTATTGGGCTGAGAACATGATTTCCCACTGTTTTGGGTTTTAGTAGTTTCTTGTCTTTCACATCCTTGAGTAGTCTTACAATTCGATCGAAGATTAAATCTTGGTAGGGAATGGTGTGAGAATCCAACTTTATTTTCGCAGTGCGCAATGTCGTCTTTTTCTTTACTGGTAATTGTTGTCGTTGTCGTTCTAAAAGTTAGTGGATGATGAAAAATTTTCGATTTTCGGGATATTTTCAACGATTGATTTGTCAGTTTGGTGCTGTGGATTACCGAGCTGAAGTAAGGTTCAGTCGATCAAATTTTACTCGGCACAAGATGATGCGGTTGCCTTCATTTTGATACACGCCGATCGAACTTAGTTCTTGGGTTATGTTTGAATTTTCGCTGTCTGTTTTTTTTTTGCGGTTGACTAAAATATTATTTCAGGTTCGATTGTAAGGCAAAATCGTGTATGAATCTCTTCCAGTGTTTCGCTAGAAGCTTTACATATATTTACCAATAAGCAGATGTAAGTACTTGTCGGTCATGAGTCAATCATTCGGCCTATTAAATTTGGTTTTCTTCCTTCTCTCAATTTATTGCTCCTTGTCTGATGTATAATTTAATTTAGTGAGTTTGATTCTCTTGATGAATTCTTGATCGAATGATTTGTCACTCTATGATGCTTCCCTAGCTAACTACTTGCTTTCATTAATGCCAATCCCATGACTATCCATTACTATCTCTGTCGGATGGTTTTTTAGAACCTGGAATCTGGATGACTAACCTTACCAGCATATATTAAATGCTTTGCGTTTCCAATCGCATTTGTTTCTATTTCCTCGTAACTTGGGGGTGTTATTCTGAGGTGGAATCAAGGTTTTTTTTCGCATTAAATGCTAGTGGCTAGTTTTGTATACTGATGTGCAGACTAATGCAGAATTTTGTTAACTTAGTCATTCAATGTTCTTTCAATTCAACATAGTACTGAAAAAGGTTGCTGTTAGATTTTGTCATCCAGTTTCATGAATGAACATATGTGCCCTACTTTTCCGTGGCAATGAATTTTTCGGATGGAATTATGAATTATGGTTTTCACTACTGCCTTCTAGAAAAATAAGCCAAACTCTTGTTTCTTTAGCACACGTTTTGGTTGGTTTGGAAAGAATTTAAAATTTTGCTCTTTTGTGCCAGATCAGCATTTGAAGGAGGTATCCATCCTTAGAAATCTGTAGCATCTGAAAATTTTTTAAAGGATAACTTAGAGATTTAGTGTCTGAAGGTTTCCAAGAGTGGGAACTGTTACAATGGGAGGGGGAGAGTCCAAACATCACAGTTCTTATCGCGACTCTTATGATTATGGCCATTCTTCTTCAAGCTATGCTCCAAGGTTCTCTCCAGCTGCTTCAAATTATGTGCAGCCTGAAACAGTAAACAGATTGCAAAGAAAGTATTCAAGGATCAATGATGACTACCAAACACTCAGTCAAGTATGCTAGTCAATGCAGAAGCCATCTTTTTTTTTTTTTTTTCTTTTTTTCCAGTTCTCCAGTTTGTAAATGTTCAAGTAAATAGCATAAGTTAGCAATATGATCTTCTCTAATTATCTTGAATAATAAAACTTGCTATTTTGTAAGTTGTCTCTTTGGTTTCTTCAGTTTTGGTTGACAGTTGAAACTAACTGCCACTTCTAGAAAACGGTCGTGATGGATGTACATATCAAGGAACATCATAGAATGATGAAGAAAGAAGTGGTGGTCACAGTTTACATATAAAGAAAAGGGTAGCAGCAAAAGTTTATCAAAATTCACCTAGCAAAATTTTATATCCAATATGTTCAACTTATGCAATCTAATTTATCACACTCATTCTTCCTTAGAAAAAAAGTTTCCCCATAATAAATGATGCTTAGGATTAAATATATTATGTTCTTCCGTTAGCAATTAGAGATACTATATTGTTTCATAGTAATTGTTACACCTATCGAAGAATTCTAGTGTTATTTTCACTTTTGATGGATCAGATGTGATACAATTTTAATGCTTGTTACCTTTCAGCTTGTCATCCGGACCTATCAAGTTGCCCTTGGTCACACTCTTACTTTTCTATGAGATTTTCATTGATAATAACCGTGCGGCTCAAATGATTTTCCAATGACTGCCACATTCCTTTCACCATTGCCGAATATGTATTCCTGGTTCCTAAGACATGAATCTTAGGTATTCTCATTTCTGTTATATGCTTCTGTTTGACCTGACTCTTTACATATCAACCATTCATCACATATGGCCGTAATGCTTTTTATTAGCTTCTCCAAGTCTCCAAATTGGAACGCATTCCATAGGTACCTCTTGAGTTGACCAATTAACTGAAAACTTAATAGCTGTTTCTTAATAGCTTTTTCCTCATAACAATATGTAGGCTTTGCTATGACTTTTGTTTTTTTGTTTTTGTTTTCAGAAACAGCAATGCTACTTCAAAATTTGATCTTCATAGTTCATTAATCAACACTAAATCATACAGCAAATGGCATTCATTAGTGTATATCTCTTGAACACTATGTACACAATCTTTCTTAGAGATTGATGCTTTGCTAATAGGTAGAAACCTTTTGAGGTTATTTTAAGAAATCAAGTTACAAAGTATAGACCACCACCATGAAGACAATGTAATGCTTTCTTCACAGTGTATTTCTTTTGCTCAAATTTGGACCAACTTGCCTTTTGTATATATATGTACACACACACACACATATGTGTGTGTGTGTGTGTCCTTTAAATATTAAAAGGCCTTTTTTCTTGTTCAGTGACACTTTATATGTTCCTATTACTCAAGTAGCTGCTGCAATTTAGCACCTTGCATATCTATTGATAGAGTGCATTCACATCAATTTAAATGTTCACTGCTATTGTTTGTCTTCTTTGCTTGTTATAGTACATCAATGATAAAACAAATTTTCTCTTTACTTCTGTGCAAGTTTGAACTATATTATATTTAGATCATGAAAGTAATAATTCATCTGTTAATATAAGTAACTATCTAATTTTTTTTTTCTCATTTGTTTTATCACTGTGATCTCAGTTCATTCTGCAATTACTTCTCAGTTTTATAGTAAATCTTAGGTGTAAGATCAAGTGATCCATATTAGTTATGTGAGTAATCTGAGAATGGTACATTTGTGATTTTGTTTAGGTTACTGAGGCGCTTGCAGAAGCAGGTCTTGAATCATCAAATCTTATCGTGGGAATTGATTTTACAAAGAGCAATGAATGGACAGGTTCAGACACACAAATCCCACGTTTCACCTTTTTCTTAGTACATGCTTGAGATACATAGCTGGCTATTAATTTACAAATAAAATCAATCACAGTGTTTTTCTTCTCAGACAATAAAAATACAACTTGAGTTTCTTCTTATTAGTTCCACTTTGAGATATTCATAACGCAAATTTTGTCCACTATGAGATATTGATCATAAAATTCTTAAATGTCACCCTTGTCCCTAAGATTGTTAAGATGCTTTATGTTGGGAGAACGATAACCTCTGTAGCTTTGCTGATTCTAGGTACTTACCAACTATTTCATTGTGCAGACTTTCTATTTTTGAGTTCTGTCCTTTTATGTTTAATTTGAGCCACATTTATCATTAAACATAATGATTTTCATTTACTCCTTGAATTTACTGATTGTATTGTTTTGTGCTTGTTGTTAGGTAAAGTTTCTTTCAACCGCCATTGCCTACATGACATTGGGAATACTCCAAACCAATGAACAGGCAATATCTATTATTGGAAAGACACTTTCTGCTTTTGATGAAGATAATCTTATTCCTTGCTTTGGGTTTGGTGATGGTCAGTGATTTATATGCTGGTTATAGATATTCATTTAGTTACATCATTTGACAAGTCGTACTATGTTGTTCTGCAGTAACTAAATTTAGCTGTCAAGCCTGATGCTAAATCTAAACTCTTCTAGTCTTGGAAATGACCAAGGAATTCTAAGATAGAAATATATTATTGTTTTTATTGTGCAGCATCCACTCATGACCAGGAAGTATTCAGCTTTTATCCAGATAACCGACCGTGTAATGGCTTTGAAGAAGCACTTGAACGTTACAGAGAACTAGTTCCAAATCTTCGGCTAGCCGGTCAGTATGACTCTTAATCTTTTCTCAGATCTGGATCAGTTCTCTATGATTCCCAGTGGAACCAACACGACATATTTCATTCAGGGCCAACGTCCTTTGCACCAATTATTGAAACAGCCGTAGGCATTGTCGATAACACCCATGGGCAGTACCATGTTCTACTTATTATTGCTGATGGGCAGGTTAGCTAATGCTTTTAGATAAGTTTTCTCTGTATATATTCTTCTTGTATACTGCTACATCCAGAGTGCATGTTGTTTACTCTCTGATGCATCATTCGTTTTCATTTTTGGTAGGACTTGATGCCTAGTTTTCAAATGATTTTAGTGTCACACGATAACAGTTCCCTTTTGTTTGTTGCATAGGTGACACGAAGCGTAGACACACAATATGGACAATTAAGTCCACAGGAGAGAGATACACTCAGTGCCATAGTCAAAGCAAGGTAATTATCAGATACGTGACTGTGAAGATATTCCTTTTCCTTATTTAGATGCTTTTCTGACATTATTTTCTTTGCTTTTAGTGACTATCCCTTGTCAATAGTTCTTGTTGGAGTTGGAGATGGTCCATGGGATATGATGCATGAGTTTGATGACAATATACCCTCCCGAGCATATGATAATTTCCAGGTTCCAAGATACACCTAACGAAAGTTTCATTTGCATTCAAAGTAATTGAAGGGTGAAGCATAAATTCATTTTGTCCTATGCAGTTTGTGAATTTTACTGAGATAATGTCTAGAAACTTCCCTGCCAGTAGAAAGGAGACAGAGTTTGCACTTGCTGCACTGATGGAAATTCCCTCACAGTATAAAGCAACGATAGACCTTCAACTTCTGGGGTTTGTGGATAATTTTTTTTTCAAATTTCTGTTAATGATGTACAAATGTTTTATTGGCATGGCACTCTGCTGTTGCATTATGCAGTCAACGAAGGGGAGTTCCTGATAGGGTTTGTCTTCCTCCACCAACCAGGAACCCTTACTCACGGTCAAGTAGCTTTGAGCAAGGTCCTGGAATCACCAGAAGCTACCCACCTGCCACCTCTGAAAGTTCTATGGAGGATAAGCTGGTATCAATAATTTTGATTATTTCAAATTTGATTACGCTTTGCTGTGATGAAGATCCCAGATCCAAGAAAATGAAATTTAAAATTCAGTCCTCTTGAAACTTGCTATTTACTTCTTCTGAGACTCATGTTTGTTGTTTTAAATAAAAATTTAAATAAATGCTGGGACTTTTTGCTTTTAACTCCTTTGTCATGCATTATTACGAACAACTCTCTCGCACACTTTCTCTTCTTCACCACTATTTTCATCAGGACCTAGACAATTGCTTTAGTTGTCCAAAAAAGTATTCTAAACTTCATAAAGAAATTGCTTAAATTGCTTTAACAGAACTTTTACTGATGTGGTGACTTATGACACCTGTTTGGTAAAACGTGGCACCCATGTGGGCGATACGGACTTGATTTCGTGTTCCTTTGATAGCTTAGCAAACATATAGGTGCCAAGTCAGGGACACCAACACCAAATGGGCACGAGAGAATCCATAAAAAGTGTGAGAAATTTGTGCTTACACGCCGCCTGTATGATATTGACATAGCATTTGCACAATGTCTACATGACACTTGGAAGTTGGAAACAAGGCATCACATATGATAATATGTAGTTGCTGACTTGCTACTTTAGGATCACATCAGCACCGAATCCATAGAAGTACCTTTATTACAGAAATCAAAGAGTTCATAAAAAGTGATAAGTACAATAAATATTTGATTGTTTGTTCCTGGTGTCAGATGGTCAAAATTAAGGGGAAATTTTCTGGTACAGAATGCAAATAGTGATACAAGAGCAATATACCTGAAAGGTGTTATATGAAAAAAAAAAACCTGTAGAATGTTGTGAAGAAGTCATTATTGGCAGAAAAACACAATAACTGGATGCATTTGCTTCCAAGTATATTATTAACTTAACATTCTAGATGCTGATAGAACAATGTTACTCTTTCTAACAGACCTTAAAAATAATCTGAATATGGTGGTTTACGGTTGTTAAAATTCTAAATGATTTTTTACTTGTTGGTTTGCAGATCTGTCCAATTTGCCTATGGAAATCAAAGGATTTTGCATTTGGGTGCGGACATCAGGTAAGTCAAAAGCTCTTGTTGCTATTTTAATCAATTGGCTGATCAAGCAGTGACCGAGTCTTCTTCTTTCTCAGACTTGTTTCGACTGTGGGAAAGATTTGCAGCGTTGCCCCATATGCCAAAGCCATATTACAACTAAGATAAGGCTCTACTAATGCCTGAACTTTAGATGCATAGTGAGCTACTAGTGCTTGAAGTTTGATTATTGCAAGGTGCTTGTAGGACATTATTTGCATCTGAAAGCAAATGCTGCTCTACTTGTACACAATTTGTCTGTATGATTGTGTGTAGATATCTACTTGTGTGGGATATCATCAATGTTGGTGGATCATGTTCAAGATGTTTAATCTCTCTACCTACTCTGCATATGTAAACTTGATAGCTGCTAATTCTATCCATACACATTCAAATAGTGTTCCTGAGTTATATTGAATTATATTGCTTAAAGGACATTTTATTTTTGTTTAAACAATTTGAGATGAATATTGTCTCCCGTTTTTACGGCAGACGCGGCCAGTTGTCAATCATGCTAGAAGCCTCAAGGGCAGCATTTTGTTGAGAAGGAAATGACCCTCAGATCTTTCTGGGTTAATAGTCTTTGTTTGATAAGAGAGGCAATTTTTGTACTCATATAAATAGGTAATATATTTTGGTTTTTTTGGAGAACAAAAAACCAAAAGTGGATTGAGTAATTTATGCAAACCCACAGAATCTTAAAGCCTATGATTAAGTCTTTCTTTATTGGAGTTCTGAGTGTGTGGATATGTTATGCAGATGACTTCTTGGCAAGAGAAGGATGCAGGTGCTGTTTGGTTCATCATCAAGCTATAGATGTTTCTGTGAAGGCCCACAACATCAAAAACAATTAATGCTCACAGGCACAAACAATTGATACAAGAGAGACTGTCACCCACTTTGACAAATCAAGCAAATTAATGATCAGAATCGAACAAATCAGTTAATGAATATTACAGAGACAATAGCATGCACTCATCCACACAATTGAGATAAACATGTATGGTGGTCTTTGGTATAAGAGTTCTGTGTTCATCCTCACAGAGCAAAGTCTTGAAATTTCGATGAGGTACCACAGAACCTCCAGAAGAAAAAACAAAAGAACAAGTCGCTTGAACATTACAACACATTCAAAATTCTTACATAACTTAATATCCACAAGGCCATGATCCATAAGCCACAAAAATTTGTGCAACCAACAGGACTACCACTGTCACTAATTCCAACAAGAAAGCGGCAGTCACCGATGGAGGGATCAAGAAAGGTAACCATCCCGAGCCCATCGAAGTTACAACTTCTGGCATCCTGCTTCTGTAACTGATAGTAACTGTTAAAGGCATAAGAGATGTTCCCCTTCTCCCCGATTGCGTTGCATGAACCTCCGTAGAATAGAGTGGTGCAATCTGCGACATTGCATGCTACCTTTATATGATTTGCTACAGCACTAGGATCCAGGGATGGGTTTGCAATACACCATCTTGGTGGAAGATATGGAACATCCTTAGCATTCTTCAATGCAGCATTACCCAGGCCAAGGTTCAATGGGTACTTGGCCTGGCCATCAAAAGAGAAAATTCCCCAGTGGCGTTCGAAGCTTCCAGGAAGTATGCTCTTTTGATCTTCATCAAGAAGGCTGAAGAGATATATATCTGCTGGAGGAACCCCGGGCCTCAAGGGTGTCCCTTTGTTGCTCAAAACATGATTGACGAGCCCTTGAACAAAGGCCCTTGCAGCACTTAAATTTGCACTTGGTGTTCCATCAGAAGGCCAACCCACCTCACCAATGGCTATGGGCATTTGTCCATAACCAATCTTGCTGAGAGCAGCCACGAGAGTGTCAAAATTGCCATCAAAAGCATTGTAATACACATTTTGGCCATCGACAACAGGGTGAGAAGAACCCCCAAAGAAGGCATAATCTTGTGGGAAATCTGAACTCTGGTAGAGACTAAGGAAAGGGTAAATGTTGACCACAAAAGGGGACCCATTTGTATTAAGAAAAGAGACTAGTTGGGTTATTATCTGAGTTAGCTCAGGTCGAAAAGCCCCTTGAGAAGGAACCGACACTGATTGATAAGCATCAGCATTGCAAGGGACCACTAGTTTTATATAGCTTGCCAGATTTGCTTTGACCAACGATTGTTGAAGGTTGAGCATGGCCGGAAGAACTAGAGATTGATATTGTCCTTGATAGGTTGTGAGGAAGGGCTCATTTCCAACGGCAATATATCTGCATAAAGGAGACAATGAAATAGTTCCCAAGTCTAAGTTCAACATAACATAAGAAAATTCCTTCAAAGCCGACTCCTGGGAAAAATGAACTTTATCATGTATTAGAGAACTTACACAGATGGTAATTAAGAAATGAAGTTACCATATTTACTTTATGGCCTACGAGTAGACGATAGATTTAGCATTCTAGGGCACAAGATCAGGTTACTACCATGAGAATTATCGATCCAACAGATACTTGGAGTCATCACAACAAAAGTATCCAGACACCATTGGAGCCATCATCGTATGGGATAACAACATTGAGATGGCACTTCTTCAAGTGAACCCTCCCCCACCATATTGTAGCTCCAACGACAGATTCTGGGCTATTGTCATAATATAATCGCTTATTGCTAACAGTGTAGCCTAAATCAATTCCAAACACATTACAAAGTTTGCACCATACAAGTTGCCACACCTATAGGTCAATATAGTCAGTGTAAATAATGTCAAAACACTTTCTTTAGACCCCTTTTGAGGCTAATCCATGTCATGATGGAGATATAATTAATTCACTTAGTGGCCTACTACAAATAATACAGACTTTAGAATTTCTAGACAATAAGAACCTGCTTTTTCTAAGCTGTTATGCCAGGAGGTAATTTTGGTCCCGCAACTTCAATTTTAGCAAATTCTGTGGAGCATGTGAAGATGACAACTTTAACACCTCAAAGTAGTACACGATACGGGGAACACTATCAATGAAATTGTAGTTTCTAGTATCAATTAAAAAAAAAAGCTTGTTAAAGAAATTTCCAAGAAAGATTAAGCATGTTTTACTAATATTTCTTTATTATACTAAGTTTATACATACGAAAAAATCAGTTAGAATATAGGAACATAATGAAGAATGGTGAAGCAAGGGATAAAACAAAAGACTTGGCCCAAAATTTCTTTTTGCTGCAGTAACAAAAAAAGATAAACAAAATGCCATTCTGCACTAATGAACAACAGCTATTGTGAAACCAACTCGTTCAGCTCAGCTGAAATTAACAATTATTCAGTACCTACATGATTTCTCTTCACTGCACCAGTATAGTTCGATTACAAGAAAAATGTCACACCTTTGTTTCGGTTGATCAGTTAGAGCTATGCGTGTTTTTAATTCCACTCTCATCAGAACACAATGTTGCTTCACACTGGCCTTTCTGTAGAACATTTTTAAGAGAACAAATACAGAGACAGATCTCTCGAGAAAATCTTGTGACGGTATGCATGTCTGGTTCAGGTTAAGCTACAACACATTTCTAGAAAGTATCTAGTGATCGAATGCATGCAGTGTTCAAATTAAACAGTATTGGAGTTTAATCCTTTTCAGCATCAGAAGCTATTACTCACAATACGAAAGCTTTTGTCTTGTTCGTCACTGGTTGCAAGTTGCTTTGCCATAGAAATGCAACTAAAATGCATGTCTCAGAATGCAATTTTTTTGGAAGTTCATATGCGTTTGCATGATGATATATGTCATACTGATCTTGATTTTACTTAAATTTTGGACTTTTGAAGTCCTCGATCCTTAAATCACTTACTATCCTGTAAAGAAACATGTCAAAATTTCCGCAAATTCCAAAGAATCATCCTCATTACAGACGACATGCGAGAGATCTAGGAATCAAAGTATCAGAAACTTATGTTCGAATCAGGAAACCGAAGAAACACGAACCAATCTTCAAAATGTCCCACCGTAGGTCACGAATCACGCACCTGATGTCGGCACCACCTTTGTCCATGAATCTCGACACATTCCGGCTGACCCATTGATCGCAGGCAGCAGGCGAAGATCCCAACACACCCAACAACTCATTGGGGATCCCGACCATCACCTCAATGCCGCTTCCCATGAGCGCGCGGAGGATGTCGGGGTCAGCTTCGAAGAGCTTCACCTTCCCAACCCTGTTCTCTTTCAGAAGATCCACAACAACGGGAGGCGGCAGCTTGTGGGAAGATCGCGTCCCCCAGTTGATACCAATCGCTGAATCCACGAAAAGGAGAGATCTTTGAAGCAAAAAACACAAGACAAGGGCCTTTACCAGATTGGGGGCTGCCATTTCTTCCAGCGATCGAATCTTGATAGAGATTTCAAATGTCTCATCAGGGTTTGGAGCTCATTCTGTGGATTTGGCGGTGGGTGTGTGTGGGAGAGAGAGAGAAACGAGGGGCCAACGGATACGAAGGGAGGGCACAGTGAAGGATGGGATGCTATACAAGTAATCGGAGCGCAGAAACTCTTAGAATTCCAGCGGTGAAGTAAAAGGTGTCAAGTATCTTTTCGAAGTTTCCAGGTGTCCGTAGTTCTAGGGGAAGACGAAGCTGTTTCTTGGAGATGGGTTGAATTGGATATTATTTGGTGCAACAATTTGAGGCTTTTTGAATCGCAGTGTAGTAGTGGAGAAGAATGGGATTCTATACAAGTAACCGTAGCTAGGAAATATTAGAATTCCAGTGTCTAAGTTAAAGTCGTCAACGATCTTTTCGAAATTTCCAGGTGTCCGTCGTTCCAGGGGAAGACGAAGCTGTTTCTTGGAGTTAGGGTTGACTTGGATATGATATGTGGTAATAATTTGACAGAGTTACTTCGCGGTTATATCTTTAATTAAATTGGAGAGGAGAATTGTTTATTTATTTATTTTTCTTTTTTTTCTAAGTAGAGTCTCTGAAGGAGCTCAATTTCCAAGAGACAGAAAAAAAACAAAAAATAAAAAGAATAATTCAGAATAGTCAATTGCAACTATGATTTGATTTGGGTAGACTGAGTCTACTATGTCAATTATGGTCTTATTAATATGAACGCGTGGAATAGAATAATCAACTCAGCAACCTGAATCCGAGAGATCTGATGCTGACATGCTGACAGCCGCCGTGAAGCTCACACCCATCCCGAGTCGACAAAGGGGCACGGTGACTTATCGAGCCTACGACGTGGGCCAATGAGCGACTGCCAGGTCAATCATTTCATTGGTCCCTGTCTCGGTCGAGACACGTCGAACGCGTCGTTCCTCGTCAATGCGATTGGGGCGCCTCCCATTGTGGACATAAACCCAGTGTTTTGTGATGACTCCGACGGACTTGTGAAGTGGACGACTGACTCGATCAAAGTTGGACCGCCGATCTCTGTCCGTTAAAATGGAAGACTTGCTGTCGAAGGGAAGACTTGGACTTGGAGACTGCTCATCCATAATCGTGTGGATACAGCGTCTTCCTTGCGTTCTTCCATTATAAAGCACGGAGTCCTTCCAAGCCCTCAACTCATCTCTCCCAGAGAACACACCGTGTCGGCAGGAAGGTTCAAACCAATTCACAAAGCTCACCAGTTTCTTCTCCCTCCGTCAACATGGTGAAGGTGAGCAGCAGAACATGAACTCTCTCTCTCTCTCTCTCTTCTAAGGTCGTGTTTGTCTTCTGCAGCAAGAGATGGTGATGAAGCTGACCATGGAAGATGCCAAGAAGCGTTCCAAAGCTCTCAAGATTGCTGTGGGATTGCCTGGTAATGAACAACACAGAGTCTTATTAGTTCTCTTTAGCATCTGCCAGTCTTTGCACTGCTAGTAAAGCAATTTATCTTCCTCTCGATCTCCATCGTTACTCGAACGCCTTGTTCTCACCTTCTAAACTCACGAAAGGTGACGCCGCCATCGTCGTCGTCATCATCATCATCGCCGCCCCACCATCTTCTTACTGACTTCGTCGGTCATTAATATTCTAAGGCTTGGGTTTCGTCGTTGGCAGGTGTGATATCCGCAAAACTGGATGGAGACAAGATCGTGGTGGTCGGCGACGGGGTTGACTCGATCGTTCTGACCACCATGCTCAGAAAAAAGATGGGCCACGTCGAGCTCGTTAAAGTCGGGTCAGCTGAAGAGAAAAAAGAAGAGAAGACTGAGGAGAAGAAGGAAGATGGCTGGGTGTGCCCTCCGACCTGGACTCCTCACTTCAATCTTATGCCGCCTGTGTATGAGATCCGCGAGCCCTACCACGACCCTTGCAGAATAATGTAGAGATCATCTGTATCGTCGAAGATCACCATGGAAGGATGGTGATAAGGTCTTGGAATGGGGACAGTGGGCTATGGTAGTAGATTTGGTGTGTCGTGTGTTGCATCACAGCCATTCTATTCTTATTGTATGATAGCAGATTGCAGTTTTGGCTGAGCAATGTGCAAGAATCCATGAAAGGGACTTCTCACAGTACAGTACTTTGCACACACATGAAAACAAATATTTGACGTCAAAAATACTTCACTTGTACGCACCAAAAACTGGAAATGAGAACAAATTCTTCGGTGTAAAGAAAAAAAAATCATGAACAAATCAAATCAATCTTTCATTAGAAAATAATAAGATTAAATAGATGATGTCAATATCAATATAAATTTATTGATTTCATTCATAATGAATATATGTTTGTTTCCTGAAACACTTTATGAAATACACTACTATCAATCTATTTATTATCTGATCAAACCAATAGTATTTCTATTCATTCTTTCTTGGTTTGGCCTCTTGTCATTCAATGATGTCATAAAATAGCTTCCAAATAAAATAATTGATTGTTCTTAATTTGAACATGATGTGAATTCTCCATTTGATTCACACATGAACAATCCAAAGAACCTTTCTTTAATATCATTTTGTTTGGAAAAGATTGATCTGAAATCTTGGATATGTGAAAACGAGAACCACCAGAATCTTCTTCTTCCCTGCAAGATATAATTTAATGTTAAATATATTATAAATAATCTAATAGGGTCAATCAAATTAGTGACAAAGCACTTAGCAAAACACAAGACATTTAAATAAAACCTTCAACATAAAGGAAAAAAAATACAGACAAATCAGATCAATCTTTCACTACAAAATAATATGATTATAAAATAATATCACTCTCTGATTAACCATAGGATATCAATATCATATGAAAATTAGATATTAGACACTAAAAAGAAAAAGATCAATTTAGAGAAAAAAAATTTATGACAATCAAAATTAATTTTACTAATCTTTTTTTTCCCCTCTAACTGATATAAAATTAGAATTAATTTTCTTTTAATCAACCTATGTGTCCCACCACTTGGCAAACCACCCAACACCCATCATATAGAATTGATGAATGAGGATGGAGGGACAACAAAAGCTTCAATAGTCTCAACGCTATGATTGCACAAGGAAGCGACTGCGTCATCGTCTCTCCGTCACCGGACGTGTTCGACACAAACTCTTCAGGAAAGCGAAGCTTATCAGAATTCATTAGTTGTTTGGTTGTCAGTCTTACACAATTACTGCTTCTAAGCCAAAATTTTTGGGTCACTCAAAATTGTTGTTTGTGAGAGGTAAGCATCAAAGCGATGTGACTCGGTCGTCCGAGTGCCAAAGTCATACTCTTCCACCGGAGATGGCCACTCCTGATATAATTAATAATAAAAAAATGTATACTTATATCTACTTAAATCATAGGTAATCAACAAATATTATATTTGTATAATAACATAGTAAAATATGAGAGCTTGATGAATATGATAATAATATTATGTCACAAAAGTATACCTAGTGAACATGATACCGAAAATCATTATGTGTATGGTTTCTACTCAGATAATGACAATGATATGATGTTGTAGCAAACCTAATCAATATGATATAAAAACACAGGGTTATTTAAACCCAGGGTTATACCATTACACCATAGATCCTATAAAAGAAGGGTATCATGATGTTAGACAAGCTTTTAACATAATTATACATCATTCCTTGATGTAAAATGGTTTAGGAGGTGAAGTTAGAAACCATAATTTTTAGGTGTATCAAATTTTTAGGTGGGATAGGTTCCATATGATAAGTTAACTTTAGATAAAAAGATTTAATTCGAAAGGCATATATATATATATATATATATATATATATATATATATATAATCTAGTGATGCATAAAAATAATTTAGATAGATACATCCAATCATTGAAGTAGAGTACGAGTCAAAGTATATGGCTCGTAGACTTATTAACTCCACATATACCCTCGATCAAATCGGTACATAAGTTTTAATTATTCATTGTTATATGCCATGGGATGCAATTAATCTATCTATATAGGTTAAAATTTTAATTATTTTAATATTTTATAAGATTATATTTTCTTATTATAGAGAAGATTTTGTCAATCAATCACTAGCCAATCAAGACTTGCTCCCTTTTGTCAATCAATCACTATTTGATATATGAACATTCACATTTATAACCAAAGGAGATATTTTCTCTCGTTCTACTTGATATAAAAAGCTATTGTTGATGTGATAATCAAAGCTAAATTATTATTTTTAATAATTTTTAATAATTTTTAATTATTATCTTAGACAAATTAGAGCGTCGAAAGGTTCAGATTGAAAAACTTACACCTGAACTCAGTCTTCGTACTAGTCATCTTTAGAGTATATGAGTGTCTTTACCTCAAACATCAAAGACTTCTAGAGACACCTTGACGATACCTATCTTATTTTTCCTAACAATATAGATATTTTTTCTAACAATGCTATATATATATTATATCTTTATATTATATTATAGTATTTTTAATAATACAAAAATATAATAACGAAGTATAAAAAATATTAAAAGATAATATTTTTTTTATCTTATATTATAATATTTGTATATTATTTAAAAAAAATACTAAATATTATAACTGGATCGATTCCCCAAATCGATCACGAGGATAGACGAGCAATGATATTTTAAGTATTAAAAATATCGTTAAAGAATTCTGAGAGTAGGCAACATTTTCTGAAAAAAAAATTCTATTTTTTTCGAAAATTCGACCATAATAATATGTAGATCAGATCCATTTACTTTTCTAAATAAAAAAAATAAAAAAATATATAATTATTTCATGCACAAAAAATTATCGGTAATTTGCGGCTATATATATATATATATATATAAGGCCTTGTGTTTTTGCGCCTCCCACCCCTTCCCTCTCTTCACCCAGCAGCTGCAGAAACCCTAAACCCAAAATAGTGCAATAAACTTACCCCAAGCATCTGTCTCCATCCAAATCCGCCATGGACGACAGCCTCTATGACGAATTCGGCAACTACATCGGCCCGGAGATCGAGTCCGACGTCGGCTCCGACGCCTCCGACGACGACGCCTCCACCGTAGACAAGTCCCCCGCCGGATCCGCCCCATCTGACGATGGAGATGCCGGCGCGGCCTCCCCTGGCGCTGCGGCCAACGGCTGGATCACCAGCGCCGGCGGACCTGACGACATGGACGTCGACGCTGCCGCCTCACAGATCGTCCTCGCCGAGGACAAGAAGTACTATCCCACCGCCGAGGAGGTCTATGGAGAGGGCGTCGAGACGCTGGTGATGGACGAGGACGAGCAGCCTTTGGAGCAGCCCATCATCAAACCCGTCCGCACCCTTAAGTTCGAGGTCGGCGTCAAGGACTCCTCCACCTACGTTTCCACCGAGTTCCTGTTGGGCCTCGCCTCCAACCCTTCGTTGGTCCGGAATGTGGCGCTCGTAGGGCACCTCCAGCACGGGAAGACGGTGTTCATGGACATGCTGGTGGAGCAGACGCACGAGATCTCCACGTTTGATGTGCAGAACGAGCGGCATATAAGGTATACCGACACTAGGATCGATGAGCAGGAGCGGAGAATCTCGATCAAGGCAGTGCCCATGTCACTTGTGCTCGAGGATAGCAATGCCAAGTCGTATCTCTGCAACATAATGGACACGCCAGGCCATGTCAATTTCTCAGACGAAATGACAGCTGCACTTCGCCTCGCTGATGGAGCTGTGTTGGTTGTGGATGCTGCAGAAGGTGTTATGGTAATCGCACTGTTATTCTCTATCCCATTAGTTTCCTTGCCACTTCTTGTTTCGGAGTTTATGTTCACCAATCAAGTGAATATATCATTATAGTTCAACTTAGTTCAAGGATTAATTAATGGGAAGCATAAGTGAAGATTTGGAAAAATTATCTTCTTAGTACAACAAAAAAGAGTTCTTCCTGCACTGTTAAGTCTAATCCATGCAAATCATTCTTTGGAACATTTGAAATCTTTCTCCAGCACCCTCACCCGTTTGATGCTTCAAATAGTCAAATCCTGTAATGGTTCAGATACCAGACACTTCATGTGCAGTGCTATAACTAGGCTCATCTCGTTAATTATGAGTTGAATTTATAATTAATGTTTCTTTCCTGTTGGAGAGTTTTTTCCCCTTATTGAGAGAAAGCATTTTTCCTTCCCTTGGTCAAGATATAAGCTAAAAACAGCTGTGATCTGACTCTATATTGTTTATCTGTTCTTACATTTATGATTGTTTTGTATATCAGACAGATAAAGTTATCCTGCTTAGCTCAAGAATTAGCTGACAAGGAAAGCGTAAAAAGAATTAGCTGTTGGAGTTTATGGATTGTTTAGTTCAGTGAATACATGTCATGTTTTTTTTTCTCTCGTGGATTTCCTGTTAATAGCATAATAAGAATTTTTCAAGTCATTGTATAAAAAAGCCAATCATTTATCTTCTCGATCACAGCGAGGTCAGATCAAACATATGAAATATGGAACACGTAATGCATTGTTACTCTGAAGGACAAGGAGTCGTCTTTAGGGATATCTTGGCAGTTTTATAGAAGTTCCAGGTTCTTTTATTCTCGAGTTTTGAACATTTTCGCTTGCATTTCTGTTATTTCACTTAGTATGAAATTCAAATCAGTAAGTACTCAACATAGTTATTCTTATACCACATAGGAGAGAGGTGCTAGGTGCTAATTTACTTGGTTAACCATTGGCCTCTAAACATTCCTGTGTCTCAATGCTTGATTTTTTGAGATTGACTAATAGTGTCTCATAATAAGTGAAGCTGTTGCAAAGCATGCTAATCAACCAAGATCTGTGGCCATAATGCTGTGGCACTATTTATTTTATTCCTCAGTTGGGTACTTAATAATTGTAAACAAGTAAGCATGTTAATGAAGCAATAACTCTGTCAAAAAGCCATATCACTGCATTTATTTCTTTAATTGGGTGTTTTGTATCCAAAAGAAGTATATAATGCTGTATTGTTGCTTTTCAAGGACATCTTTTCAAGATTATTTGATCCTGAATGATGCTTCTTTTTCTGCCTATTGTTGATTGAGCAGGTTAACACTGAGAGGGCTATAAGACACGCAATCCAAGAGAGGTTGCCCATAGTGGTTGTAATGAATAAGGTGAACCTTCATTTCGTATCTGTAACCTTAATTGGTCTTCTGTTTTTCCTCGCATTTCTTTAATCTCTGTATCCGACCTTATTTTTTATCTAAATTTACTGAGATAGGTTGATCGACTTATTACGGAGCTAAAACTCCCTCCCACTGATGCATATTTTAAGTTGAGGCACACATTGGAAGCTATCAATGACTTGATCTCATCTTGCTCTACTACTGTTGGAGGCACCCAAATGGTTGATCCTGTGGCTGGAAATGTTTGTTTTGCCAGTGCAAATGCTGGTTGGTCTTTCACACTGCAGTCCTTTGCTAAGCTATATCTTAAGCTTCATGGCATACCATTTGACTCTGTGAAGTTTGCATCACGCTTATGGGGGGATATGTACTATCACCCTGACCAAAGAGTATTTAAGAAGAAACCTCCTATGGCTGGAGGAGAGAGATCATTTGTACAGTTTATTCTTGAACCATTGTACAAAATCTACAGCCAGGTAATTGGAGAACATAAGAAGAGTGTTGAGGCAACCCTTGCAGAACTTGGAGTCACACTGAGTAATGCAGCTTACAAGTTGAATGTGAAGCCTTTACTGAGATTGGCTTGCAGCTCGGTCTTTGGATTTGCAACTGGCTTCACTGATATGCTTGTCCAGCACATTCCCTCAGCTCGGGATGCTGCAACGAAGAAGGTGGAGCACATATATACAGGGCCTCAAGACTCTTATATTGCTGAGGCTATGAAAAACTGTGATCCATATGGTCCCCTTATGATTAATATTACAAAACTTTATCCTAAGTCTGATTGTAGCGTGTTTGATGCCTTTGGTCGGGTCTATAGTGGTACTATACAGACTGGTCAAACCTTGCGTGTACTTGGCGAAGGATATTCACCTGAAGATGAAGAAGATATGACAGTTAAAGAAGTCACCAAGTTGTGGGTTTATCAGGCTCGATATCGTATTCCCATCAGTAAAGCCCCTGCTGGCTCTTGGGTTCTAATCGAAGGTGTTGATGCATCAATCATGAAGACAGCAACATTATGCCCTTTATATATGGATGAAGATGTTTATATATTTAGGCCCCTTCGCTTCAACACATTATCAGTTGTGAAGACCGCAACCGAGCCATTGAATCCAAGCGAGCTTCCCAAGATGGTGGAGGGCCTTAGGAAAATTAGTAAGAGTTATCCATTAGCTATTACTAAGGTTGAGGAGTCCGGAGAGCACACTATCCTGGGGACAGGTGAGATATATCTTGATTCAATAATGAAGGACCTGAGGGAACTTTACTCTGAAGTTGAAGTTAAGGTTTGTTAATGAGGTCCATGAACCATCAATTTATTTTGCAAACGATGCACCTGGGCTTGTATAAATATACTAAATCCAACGTGTGGGTGTTGTAGGTGGCAGATCCTGTTGTCACTTTTTGCGAGACAGTGGTTGAAACTTCATCAATGAAGTGTTTTGCTGAAACACCAAACAAAAGGAACAAAATTACTATGGTGGGTTCCTACTGTCTAAATGAGTCTTAATTTCTTTACATACATCAGTTCTCATTGGCAATAACAAGCGGTTCTTTGTTGCATGACTATGAATCTGAGCTTTTCTTTGTCATGTATAGGTTGCAGAGCCACTGGAGAAGGGTTTGGCAGAAGATATTGAGAATGGTGTTGTTAGTATTGATGCACGGCAAAGAGATATTAGTGATTTCTTCCAGAAACGCTATGACTGGGATTTGCTTTCAGCGAGGTCTATCTGGGCATTTGGTCCAGACAAGCAGGTAAGTAAAAGCTTTAATAATGTGTTAATGGATTTGCCTATCTGAATGCACGATTTGAAATACTCCCAGACCGATATGCACCGGGCAGAGTTTATTGGTCTGATGCTGAACGGGCACACGGACCAGGGTCTTTTGCCTGGTCTGGTTCGCTTTAGGGTTTTATTAAAAACTTTTTGTTAATACCTCTTTCTATTTTTCTCAATCTCCGTCAGATGCACCTTGATTGGCTGCCTGACCCGACCCGTCCAGTCCTTTTTACCTCTCCTCATCATTGTCCTCCTTACCTTTTTTTCCTCTTCTTGGTCCTCTCTTCGCTCCTCTCCTCTGCCTCCTCCGGTCTGGGATGTGCTGACTGGTATGTGTACCATATGTCAGTCGGTATGCTGGTGCATATCAGACCTGCATCATATCTTATACAATTTGTTTATCGGTTTTGTTTCTTGTAAAGAGCAAGAACTTCTTATCTGTTTTGTTCAATCACCTAAACATTTTAAATTAAACATCTGTGTTTATATATATTCTCTGTTTGTGACATATGCAGGGGCCTAATATCTTATTAGATGACACTCTTCCTAGTGAAGTTGACAAAAATCTGTTGAATGCTGTCAGAGACTCCATCGTTCAAGGGTAAAGGCAGTCCTCTACTAATTAGCAATAACACATTTGCATGTAATCTTTTTTGTTTATTATATGAACTTTTCTGGTCCGTAGTTTCCAATGGGGTGCGCGAGAAGGTCCTCTCTGTGATGAGCCTATCCGGAATGTGAAATTCAAAATCCTGAATGCATCCATAGCTCCAGAGCCGTTGCACCGAGGTGGTGGTCAGATTATCCCCACTGCAAGGCGGGTGGTATATTCAGCTTTCCTGATGGCGAATCCTCGGCTTATGGAGCCCGTTTACTATGTTGAGGTAGTACTACTACCCTGTGTTAGTTTTTGCGAAATGATATCTATGTTAACTCATTTGAACTTTTCTTAATTATGATATTGGTGTTTTTCATGTCTTTTCAGATCCAAACACCGATAGATTGTGTTTCTGCTATTTACACGGTGCTGTCACGAAGGCGAGGACATGTAACACAAGATGTGCCGAAGCCTGGCACTCCCGTATATATTGTAAAGGTTAGAGTTTCTAACACCTTTTTAAAAATGTGCTTAAGCTTCCGCCATGTTTTGCTTGCTTGGGCTTTGGCACCTATGAGGCAGATTTTGGTGATTGCTTCACTGATTGTCTTTGTACTTGCAAAAAAAAAAAATAATAGGCCTTTTTGCCTGTGATCGAGTCATTTGGATTTGAGACGGACTTACGATACCATACTCAAGGGCAAGCTTTCTGTCTCTCTGTTTTTGATCACTGGGCTATAGTTCCTGGTGATCCATTGGACAAGAACATAGTTCTCCGTCCCCTTGAACCAGCACCAATACAACACCTTGCACGTGAATTCATGGTCAAGACACGGCGTCGAAAGGTTTGCATACTTGGTTCCCAGGCTTTTGCTGCCTATTTTGTTATGTTTGGTTGGGGTATGTAACGAGCAAAAACGTGTTATTTCAGGGTATGAGTGAAGATGTAAGCATTAACAAATTCTTCGATGAGGCTATGGTGGTGGAGCTTGCCCAGCAGGCTGCCGATGTTCATCTGCAGATTATGTAAGGCCACAGAGCAAGGGAAGAGTCAACCTTCCTTTTAATGCTCGGAGCCGATAATATTCTTCTTTTGGTGTGCCCTTGAGAAGCCCCTCCATATGAGGCACCGTTGGGCATCGAGATGATGTACTTTTGGTTTATCAGCCTCTGCTTCTGAAAGCCTTCGTGCAAGCCTGAACCAAACTGTTGTTGTTTCTTCCTCCCGTAGTGGTTTAAGCCCTTCCCTTCCCTTAGTACACATACTTCAGCTGTGGCGCACTTTTATTTATGTGTATGATGCGCACTAGTTTCTATTTCGAAAACTGTTGTATAAATCTAGTTAGACGCTGGCAAGGCGAAACTGCACGCTGGCCAATCCGTTTCTGGACTCTTGGATGAAGTATTAGATACTTGTTATCTCTATGGTCGATCGAGTTCTGAAAACGATGAGGTTAAGATTAAATACCTTCACTCTATATTGGTAACAAGAAACCATTTGATCTCCCGCAGACTTTGCAATCCAGGAAATAAACATGATCTCCCATCAAGGAAATAAAGTGGAGGAACACAAGTATCAGATCATCCTAGAAATTAGTCCTAGGAAAGCCACCAAACTCCAACTTGGATAACATTCTCCTGAATGATGTACACGAGAGAAGAAGCATGCGGCAGACTGTACAAGCAAGCCCATACGGAAAAGCCTTTATTTCCCAATGTTGAAGCAAAGAACCTACGTGTCATCGACTTGAGAGTGAAAGACAAAGCTGGGAAACGTCGTCGTGATGTCCCTGTTTCAAGAAATGCAACTTTGAGTTTCTTACATCACCACTTGAGAATATTCAACTACTTGGACTCTTAGATACCTCAGATATTGGAGAGTCATATTCTTTAAGAGAGAGGGATGCCGCAGGACAAGACTGCGCCATTCTTCCTTGTCTATTTTCCCATCATGCTTAGTATCAGCTTCCTCGAAAGTCTGCACAGAAATAAATGAGAAAATTTCTTCGAATAGAGGGACATACTCTCTGAAACATGAACTGAAAGAGCAACGATAATTATGAATGCCAAACAGTTGATAGTGACTAACTGTTGTTTTTTGTTTCAGAAAATTGCTAACATAAAACACATCCCGCTCAGATTCATCAACATAAAAAATAAAACTCAGAATGCCAAAAATATTCACATGGCCAAAGAAGCTACAATAAAAAGGAAAATGGGACACAATGAAAAAGGTTATAGATAACAGCACCTAAAACACTTGGCCAGTTGGCCTGCGTCTTAAGGTATAGAAGCTGCAGAAAAAACAATTCAGAAAATCTAAAAAATTGGTGATTGAAGAACTTATTTCCATCCCACCAACTCATCTTTCCAATTTTCAAATGCTCTAACTGAAACTGTGCTGCTAATTGTTAGCCATCAGGCATGTAATAGCTGAAAAGTTGATGGCAAAGTTAGTATCTACCAGTAATAAGTTAATAAAATTAGTATGAAGGATGCCTATAGCATATTAGATAGTAGCAGCCATCAAGAAACATGAGCAAAAACGAAATATAGCAGAGATTTAAGTGGAACAAATCTAGCAGATAAAGGCCATGTGCAAAATTTGATCAAACTATTTGATTGTCAACCTTATCAATGATACTTTCTATGACATCATCTGAAAGATTCATTCCAGATTCAGCAAGTGTCGCCACTACCATCTGCTTCACCTGGACCAAATAAAATGCAAACATAAATTCATCAAAGTTAATATCATAAGCAGTTGTAACAAGAAATGAAGAAGATATCAACTCCATATTGACAATGGAAAATATGTTGCCATCTAAGCTAGCACAACTTGTGATAGAAATCATCTTTGTGCTTGGGGAAATGTTGTAGCCAGTGAGGTTACAACCATGGTGCGACAATTGCTGGTTGAAAACTTGAATTTGAGATCAACTGAACACATTCTCAATTTAATCAAGTTCATTTATACTTTTAAATAATTTTAGTATATTTATGGGAGGTTTTGTAAAAATCATAAGTTTTTAGAAATTGGATACAAAACTTTATATATCTCTATTCAAATATTTTTTTAAAAAATAAAATCAAAGTAGATTTCATATTAAAAACACTATATATAAAATTTATCTTCTTTCATTTTTCTCAATTAGTCCCACTTTTCTAAACTTTTCTTTATAATATATTGAAACTGAAACTGTCCATGCTTGACAAAAACCAAAAAATGTTTGGCGCTAATTATTCGCCATATTAATAAAAGTGTAAAGTTCCAATCATGGGTAAAGCCAAGAATAAGAATTACACATGTACATGCAATAAAAACAACTATTCACATTTATTGTTACCTCTTGCCTTTCAATAAAACCTTGCTGCTTGAGATCATATAGTTTGAAAGAAACTGTAATAAGAAATGAAATATGATGTGAGATGCATATTTCAATCACGAACCTACGATGGTGATAATTTCAAATGTAATTAAAAAAAAGACTAATAAGAAATGAGATATCATTGGAGTTGCATATATCAATCACGAACCTTCATTGGTCAAAAATTAATATGCAATATATATTATGTGAGTTGCATATTTCGATATCGGGAACAAGATTAGAAGTAGACAAATGTCATAAAACAGACTTGAACCTATGTTGGCCAAAATTAAATTTGTTAAGTTCACATGAAATCAATATGGGATTAGAACAAGATCATCTATTAATAAATTGCATATGCAATTGACATTAACAAGTCCTTTTTATATGTTAAAGAAAGAGAAGCTGCAATAATTAATGCTGCTCTTTATGTTTCAAGCATCAGATTCATGATTTCCTCCTTTAGAAAATGTATAGAAAATCTACATTAGTGGAAAAAGAAAAAAAAAACTCAAGTAGCAATGATTCAATGGCAGATCAGAAAGAAAAGCTCAGAAGTATTACTTCACAAAGGTGCCGAAGGATCTAAGTTGACCAAATGTTTTTAAGAAATAGCAGTATCAAAAATAGTATAGAATCTCAAGTAACACATATCTTAAAGAGTCAAATGAATCATCGGATGGAAGTTAATTTGACAAATAGTGGCCGTAATAATTATACCTGGCAGGCCTGTATATTTACATTCCTTCACATGTTGGATTTTAGAAATTGTTGTGTATTATCTGCATATTCACTCTTCCACACACACACAAACACTCGTGTGTGTGTGTGTGTGTGTGTGTGT